ACCTTCTTGCCGGAGGTTTTCCGGCAACTAGAGGAGACCCTTGGGTAGACCCAGAACTCACTGGAGGGATTACATATCTCATCTGGCCTGGGAACACCTCTGGGATCCCTCTGGAGGAGCTGGAAAATGGTCTTCAGCTACACACTTCCCCAGTGTATGGTGAAGGTTACCATCCGATGAAGGCAACAGAATCTAACATCCATTATCTATACACTGTTTACTCCTCACAAGGGTCGCAAGGGGGTCCATCCCAGCCGACTCAGGGTGAAGGCACCCTGGACAAGTCACCAGTGTATCGCAGGGCTACACTTAGAGACAGACAACCAAGCACACGCACATTCAAAACCTACGGACAATTTAGAATCACCAATTAGCTTCAGCATGTTTTCAGACTGTGGGAGGAAGACACAACTCTGAGGTTCCAAAACCAGACACCCTCCTTATCCCAGCTCGGAGATTCTGTCCATGAATATCACAAACAGGATCAGAGACAAAGAGCAACCTTGGGTCTAGCATCTACAGAAAGAAGGGTGGTACCAGGACAACTGCTTAGAGGGTGTGTTAAAAACTGCAAAGACAGACTGTAAATGTGTGCATGCAACACTGATTGTGTTGATTATCAGATTAGTCTGACTCACAGAATGTAGACTGCTGGTATAAGCCTGCCACCAGCTGCTCATTTTAGGCGGCTTTGTCCTTCTTGAATATATTACAGTATATGTAAATTATCATACTTTGACGCAAGAAAATGCAATAATGCTTTCGAAAGTTAGAAAACCAGGTCACCTCTTTGATGCCTGCGACTGAGACACCAAACTCAACCTGCTGCACGTGACCTCTGACCTTTCCACTGAAACTTTCTGTCTCAAATGCAAGTAAAATGAAGATACCCAACTATGCTCCACCGCTGCAAGGTGAAGCTGTGCCACATCTGTGCTCTCAGGTGCCTGTTAAACGCAAATCCAAACTCTTGTGATGATTATCTGCAGCGAGGCGCTCAGGTCGGGACGGGCCATGTGGGTGGTTTGTACACACAAACCGCTTCCTGATAGCCTTGAATGGACTGCTGTTGTGTTGTAGATAGTGAACATGCAGAGGACAGGTAAGCGCAGGACAGGTGGTCTTCTGCACAACATGCAGGTACATAATAATAACATGTTCAGCTTAAACTCTTATTGTGAGAACATCAAAGAGCATTTGGCATTCCTAAATCTGCAAAACATTCAAGATGGTGCAGCAACTGCTCAAAAACCATCAGGTTCCAGAAAACTACATTTAATCTGTTAAAATGAATTAAGTCACAGCCCAAACAGTCTCTTCTGTCTTGAAAAGCTGACAGAGTTAGCGCATAACCTCAGTTTTATACATGTGGCAGTCTGGTTGTCTCCATGTTGTGTTAGACAGAAAATCAGTTTGCTAGCACGGAAGAACTATCACTTGCATGTAAATTCTGAATTTTATGATTTGTGTTCATTTTTGTCAAGTAACGGAAAAGAGGAAAAAAAGTCCCATGCAAATGTTAAACCCTCTCCTGTCACTGATCAAACCCCAGAAAACTCATCTCTGTTTGTATCATAGTTACCAGAAGTTTCCTCCATGAAAACAATCCTTTAAAACTGATAAATTCTACTGTTGCTTTTTCTACAATGTGCAGATTTCTGATGTGCGACATAATGTGGTAGTACACGTCCGGTTTTGCTCCGTTCCTGTCAATCACAAATGCAGTAAGATTCTTCTTCCTGAAGGGGGCGGGGCCAGCAGTAGCTCAGCTACATTAAAAGCTACAGACACTGAAACAGTCTGTTTATAAAACCAGGAGTTATACAGTCATGGTGAAATGATCTTTGTGGTATTTTGAGCTGATCAGAAGGTAAAAAAAGACACCTTCTGGTAACGTGGTACTTTCATTACTTTGGTAAATGGCACCTTTTTAACCCGAGCTAGAATCTACAGAGTGCTTCACAATGGGATTTTTATTCACCAATTCACATGTGCCATACAAGCTGCTCACCTACCATTGGGAGCAACTTGGGGTTCGAAGCAGGAAATCAAACCGCCAACCTGACGATTCGTGGGCAACCCGCTCTAACACTTGATTTACTGAAAAGTACCACAGTATGGAACCTTAAAGACTCACAGTGTTTTGAAAATGAGCTGCTTTGTTTTGACCTTCTGCAACATTGGCATACAGTCGCTGCTGCTATTTCACCATAAGACATTAGGCAACGCAAAGCTGGGACGTTGACTCAGACCGGTGCAACTTTTCTCAGACAAATTTAAAGCAGTGGAGATGTAAATATATTAAAAAGTGACCACATTACAAAGATCAGCGGTCTGAGTCTTTACTGCAAAGTTTAATCACATCAACCAGAGAGATGGTGCTTTTGGTGTCTGTGATGTCAGTTGAGCTGCGCCACAGGGCATTTATCAGCCTCCATATCCCTCTCCATATCCCTCTCAGACAGTGTTGAGGGGAGAATGGGGGATTATACAAGCCCTTCCTCTCCCTGTGAGTGCCTCTCTCTCTCGCTCTCTGGGTGATCGGTCCAGTGCTGCTGACTGTGTTGGACTCCGGAGCGTCACCCCGACCTGACGCACTCTTGTACCAGAGCGCAGCTGTCACCATTACTTCATGCTTATTGGCCCAAGACCGAGAGAGGCAGAGGCAAAGCAAAAGGCAAACAGACACGGAGAGAGAAAGAGAGGGAGAGAGTTGGACCCCTGCGCTCTGCTCCATCGATCTGCAGAGGTGCACCGAGGACCTTCTATCGGGACGTTGGCCACCATTTTTTGCGCTTTCGGCTTTTTTTTGGAGGGAATGCCAGAAGTGGATTCACTGTTTGGAACATGCTACTGGGCAATTTGGTACGGTAAGACCGTCACGGTTTGTTTTGTGGGTTTACAAAATACCAGTGTTGCTTTGTTTCAGTGTTTCCCAGCTTTCTCCCCCTCCACCACCTCCCCCCCAGAAAACAAAGATTGCGCTGTTGCAGGATTGATGTATCGACCTGCGAGCCTCCGATCTGCTCTTTGCCTGAGCGCAGGGATCTGACATTTTTGGAACCTTAAGAAAAAAAAAAAGACAGAGAGAGAGAGAGAGGAAAATTACGTAACAGTGAGGAGGAATGATGAATTATGGAGCAGCTGCTGGTATTTTTGGTCTGACTGACTCTGGGACAAGATGTGTGATGATGATGATGATGATGATGATGATGATGATGATGATGATGATGATGGATTGCCTGCAACAGCTCAATGTCAACAGTGACACATATTTGTTTACCTGGGGGAGGTAAAGGTAAGCAGAAGCTGTAGGTCAATGGTTACACTATGGATGATCATCACCATGATAATAATGATGATAATAATAATAATAATAGTAATAATAATAATAATAAACTATATTTCTGTGGAACGCTTCAAAACTAGAGCTACAAGCTGCCTCTCAAAACATACAAAAGCTACAAGAAAGCATCAAATGAAGACAGTAAAACATCAGTAAAACCAGTAAAGCATGGAAAAGGCAAATGATAAAACCTTAGCAAAGAAATGCAACATTACAGTTTTAGAAGTAGAAGAGCATCAAGGAAGGTTCAAAGCGGCACCTTGAGGAACCACCAGAAAGTTTTTTTGTCTTTTTTAAATCAAAGACATTTTATGGAGTTTGGTGCTTCAATTTAAAATTATTAATATGCTGCCGTTTTTGTTTTATAAATGTTGTGTTCATTACATTTAGGCGAATAGGCACCATGACATTAGTGTCAAAAGTCATTTGTGCAACGTCTGTCAGCAGAAATGTCAAAAAAAGATTCCAATTTGTCCAAATATACAAAAATAATCTGGGAAATTTGGCAATATCTCCAATACTGTTACCAAAAAGTAGAACTTAAAATAATCAATTTGCATGTTATGAAGATTATTATTGTTATTATTTGTCATGATGACAAAACTCTTGTTTTTATACCAGACTTGAAGTGAAGGATTATAATGATGTTATTCCTTTATCAGAAAATGAACCAAACTGAATATATCTTGAATGTATTGCAATGCACACAATTACAATTAAACTAAGTTTTAATTATAAAATTAGAAAAACAGAGTTCACATGTAGGTGGAAAGTGTCAGTTAGGCCGACATCACTCTGCAAAAACATCCCCTTTTGAGTTTGTAGAGGTTCCCCCAGCAGCCTCTTCTCTGAATGGAGCTGTTAAAGGCTCCTCAAGGAACCTTCCAGGTACACAACGTTCCTCAAACATCCCCAGAGTTCCTTGAGGTTCTAGGAGATGAACGCCTGCTTGTACAGGTGGGCTTTTGAAAGCTTTTCAAAGTGATTGAGCTTTTCTGACCGTAAGCGGGCGTTTGTTCCACAGCGTTGATGCTAGAACAGAAAAAGACGAGGTCCCCCTTTGTTTTAAGCCAAGACTCTGAGATTTTTAACAACAGCTCACATCTGAGGTGCAGAAAAGAGGATTAATAATTGTAGAGTGGAGTCAGACTGTGTAGAGATTTAAGAGAAATAAAGACACTCTTAAATTGAATTCTATGACAGGGGAGCCTGTGTAATTTGAGAAATGACCTTCAGAAATTCAAACTGGGAAGCTGAGGAGTGAATACGCTAAATGCCCGAATTATGAAAAACATCTTATGAGCGTTTTTTGTTCTTATGATGTAACAACAGCCTGTCTGTGTTTCATGCACAGAATTAGGCCCACACAGGGTTTGCCATGTTGTTTATAGGAGTTAAAACATACTGTTCTTACCCTTTTCTTGCGCTACGTGACTGCCTTTTTAAAAAAATTCACAATTAGATGTGTTGAGTTACACCCACACAAACACATCGGAGCACGTGTTGCTGAGCTGATGATTAAATATAAGCTGATGTTAAAGTACTTGCCTCCTACACTCAGTCTTCTGGCTCTCTAATGTGGTTTCAGGGAACCAGGCAGGTTCCTTCCAGAGTATTAATTCAGAACATCTGTATTTCAGATCAGGGTTCTCTCTGTGTGAATCTTTGGGCAGAACGCTGCTGCAGAGATCGCTGCTGTTGCTTCTGTTTGGCGACGTTCTCTCAAACTGCCTGAGGTTCGTCTTCCTGAACAATCCACGCCTCCATTTCCTGGAAAGCTGTTTGGACAACTTGACCAATATGATGCCGTCCGTGTCAATAAAAAGAGCAACATCAGCTCAGTTGAATTAGATCAACTTCTACTCGACTGAATTCAGCCGTGTTGGACATAAGAATCCTCGAGGAGCCTTAGATTTGACCCAGCTACAACTTATTTTTTGCTGGAAAAACATTCCAGGGTGGTTCTAGTAATGTTTTCAGCAGGATTTTTTTGTTTTGTTTGCAGAATGTTCGTCTTAAAGGTAGGATGATGCGCTCTAAAGACATTCTTGGAAGATTTGGGGATGACGTTGTTAGACGAATATGTCCTAATATTCTGAAAGTACTTTTTAAGTGTTGCATTGAGAAAGTCCGTCTTTGGCTACCATATAACAATGTGGAACGTTGTGGGAACGTGCTATAGAAGAACATCCCCACCTTTATTCATATGTCACATTACAGGAATATTTTATTAAAAAAAAAAAAAAAAACAGTTACTAAAAATATCTGAGGGCTTGATAACACCATTTCTGAATGTCGCCTTGAGAACATTCTGCCTTTGTCCCAACAGCATCATTGAAAAAACCTCAGAATGTTGCAGTCAGAAGTGAACTACAGCCGTATGAGAACATCATTTGATGTGATAAATATCATTAAAATATTAGATTAAAATTGTAAAACAGTATTAGAACTTCTAGGTAATGTAAGCCTATGTTATGGGAACATTAATTACTAGCTGTGAAGCTAGGTATCTATCAGAAAAACAGGTTTTGAATTGCTAAAAAACTAAAGAAACATTTGTTCTCATGCAAAACCCAGTGTAACATGGCTTCGCGTCATCGTGTTGTTGGCAGAATTACAACGTGGCGTTCTGTCTGTACTCTCTTGCTGCCGATGACTGATGACTTCCAGAGGGGTTGTTATCCTTCCAGCACCTTTTTGATATGAGGTCAAAAACATGTTCAGTTTTCTTGAGTCAGATTAAGGCCGAATGTTTTGGCGAAAATATCTAATTTTAATTTTTCAGACAGATATTGTGGTCTGATTTGTGTCAAATATCCAGTGTGTAATTGGTTAAAAAGATAACGGATGCATTTTAAATCTACCTTGAGATGCGTTGCAAAATTACGAGTTGTCGCTATTAAATAATGAATTGGAGGTCATTTCAGTCAAACCGCAGTTTGAGCCATGTACTATAGACTGAAAAGAAAACCCTGAAAGTCTCAGTTTGGCCTAATTAACCCTCTGAACTTTAAGTAGCTTCTGGGTGTTCTTAGCTCCTGTTTACATTTTTGCTCGCTGTGGCTCATTTTTCTCTGTAATATAAAGTCTTGCACCTCTATGGAAACAGAACAACCACGACTAGAAGTAGAGAGAACTCAAACATGTCTTCTATACAGTATGAGAGTCCAGTTTATCCTGAATTCTTTTCCTCAAGACTGTTGGTTTCACCAATGGCTTCACAGTTGCAGGATTTTTTTTTACTGAATCTAGTCAGAGCAAACATATGATTTTTGATGAAAAGCTTAGATTTGGTTAATTCAGCAGTTACAGAATTGTCAGGAAATGGAAAATCCAACAGTTTCTTGTTATGATAAATTATGCCATTTTGGTGATTTTTTTTTAAAGCTATCACACCTTTCAAATCTGTGGATGGGTTTTGGAGTTCAGAGGGTTAAGTTACATGAAGCTACAGCACAAGTTGCATTATTTTCTGTTTAATTATTTACTATATCTGTATATGTGTGCTAACGGCTTTGTTCAATTTGTGATTCGATTTGAAGTCAATTAATTGTGGTAATCAGATTAGTGTTAATCAGAACAGTTTTGGTTACAAACAGCCTCGTCTAACTTCATCTCATCCTTATTTTCTTGTAAAATTGTTATTGCTTCTGGCTTTTTTTTTTTTTTTAAATTCCTGTAGAAGCAGAGTGGCCCCATTTCTTCACCTGACTTTTTCTTTCCAGTAAAATCCATCTTTTTTAAATGGAAAACTTGCTCTCTCTCTTACAATTTACTCCATGTACGTTGGCTATCTGAATGAATATATTCTAAAGCTACTGACGGTGCTGTGACCGTCCTCCTGAGCCCTGTGTACTCTGCTGTGTGGCTGAGCTGGAAAATGTTCACTTATCTGTGCTGGCTTGGTCTCACTGAGCTGCACTCAGCTTCAGATTTTCAAGGGTTGCCATTCCTGGCTGCCTGTTGACATTTGACCCTTCTGGTGAGACGTGAACATGAATGTTTTTCGCCAGAGCGGAAAACAAACTTCTAAGTCAGGGCAGCGACATGGCAGAGACCCGTGTTTTGTTAAACGCTAATGAAGTGTCGCTCAGCAAGACACGGAAACTCCAGAGCTGCTGCTGAGCCTGACCCCTGACCTGCAACAGTGCAAAAGCAGACTCAAAAATACTGTGTGCTTTCCCTGCAGGTAGTGGTTGTGTTCTGCCTGTGGGGAACTGATGTCAGCAGAGCGTATGTGTTTCAAGCCAGCCGACCTGTAGAGGGAGGAGACAGTCCACCGCTTCCCACTAAAGGTGACAGCAGATGTTTGATGGCTAAAAAAAAAAATCTGCATTTTCCTTGTCTGTTTCAAAAAGCCTCAACACATACTTTATGTAACCAAAAAAAGTGGTTTAGAGTTTTGCAAATACAGTTACACTTTTGTTCAAATCTGCGTTGTTTTTAGAGAGATTTTGTTCATTCCAGTAGCTCCATAGAAATCACCATGCCGAGGCTTAAATCTTGTTTGATAAAACTACTTTAGAGGGTTTTATCATCATACAGTCATTTACTTTCAGACACCAATGTGATGCAGTTGATGAGGCATTAACCTCTCAGAATTAATAGTTATGTTGCAGAAAATTCTTACATTTAGGAGTTATGAAATGTAAAATCCAGATGACACAGCAAATATGAATGAATGGGAGAAAGTTATTGTGTAGCCAGAACCATGCACTATACACTGATTGAAGTTTGTAAGAACCCCTGAAAGTTTTAGTTAATCAACCCTCTAAATCCCAAGCAATGTCTTTTTTGCTACTGTGTCATGTATTGCACTTCTGTAGACAAAACACAACCATGGATTGAATCCAGTAATTAAAATCATTAGAAAAAAAAAAGAAAGTTTAACTTCTCTGATTAATTGTTTTACAAAAAAATGAAAGATCAACATTATTTTAAGTGCCCACAGGTGTGACCAATATTGAAAACAATGGTGGCTAGACATATTAGAAAACAGTATTTACATTTTTTAAAGCTCACCATGCTGAATGTATCTTCCAACAACTTACTTGTCTGTACTGTTTTGGGGTACATTTAGTTTTTCTCTTAATCTCTCTAATTTGTTTTCAGCCTTGTCTGTGGAAGCACAGCCTGCAGTTCAGCCGAGAGGTCTCTGAGTTTTTGTTGTATGACTGTTACTTGCTGCTGAGTGAAATGGTGCTCCGCAGTTGTTCAGATGACTAAACTTTTTTTTTCTTTTTTTTTTAATAGAATTTAATTAGTGCAAATGTTTTTGGAGAAAAAAAATGTAAATGACAAGTAACATAGATTAACTATGATAAAATATAGTTTTAAGCTTAGTTTTAAGTGCACTTCACACATGATTAAGTTCAGCGACTGTTGGAAAGCTGAAAATCTGGCAAATAGTTCTATTTTTACAGTTTCTGGCTCAGATAAATGATTTGCTAACATTTTAAAAGAAAACATGCATTTCAAACCTGCTGGTAGGTTTTGTGGTTTAGAGGGTTAATGTTTTCCATAAACAAATGATTCCTCACCAGATTCTTAAACTCAGCCACTAATTCGTCATTAGAGTGGTCCACACATATGCTGCTATAATGCAAATGCGTGCCAACAAAATGACTGTTCAGTTATGTCATGCTTGAATGCGTGCACTGAAAACGAGTTCTTGATCTTGTTTCAGGAACAAAATCAGATCTTATATCAGAGTGTATACTCTGTAAATGGCTTTTGGTTTGCAGCAGTTGTGTCTCACTGTGGCTCTCTCCTCCCTCCAGGAATCTCAGAGTGGGTCAGCTCAGCGGGCTCCTGTAAGGGGAGGTGCTTCGAGCTCGAGGTGGTCGATCCTCCGGGATGCAGATGTGACAATCTGTGTAAAACCTACTACAGCTGCTGCTCTGACTTCGACGAGCACTGCCTGAAAACAGGTCAGTCTTTTATGGTTTCACACCGAATGAATCGCTTCTCGTGATTTCTTGTTTTTAAAGGCGTATGTATGGCTTTATTCTTCAAACTATTTCTGCTTGTGAACAAGACGATATGGAAAATACATGCTCCAAAGTAGAAACTCTATGCAGCAATAAACTGAGTCCACCTATGAGTTACAATCAGCCAAGTTGCATAAACATAGCTAGAACATTAGTTGTGAACAGTAGAACTTTCTTAGTTTTGGTTTTCGACTGTGTTTATCTGTATTACTGCATCGTGGCTCCACATGGAAAAGAACTGCCAGAGAAAAATCTTATTGTGAGGCCTCTCAAATATGGAGGAAGATGGATGAACAACTTCAAACCAGTGGAAACAGCTACTGCAGTAATCAGGAGGTATAGAACAAGTCAACAAGGATGTCCCAACATAAAACAAGGAGGAGGAAGAGAGCTGGGATAAAGGCTAACCCCTCCAGACCAGCAGGACCGCTATCCTACTCTCCAATGTCCGCTCCCTCCACAGCAAGCTGGACGAGCTACGTTTGCTGAGAGAAACCCGCAGAGAGTGGAGGGACTGCTGTGTGTTTGCTTTAACAGAAACATGGCTCCATGACAACATCCCGGACGGAGGGGATGACATTATTCCGGGCGGACAGACATAGAGGTAGCTCTGGGCAGCATCTGAGGCTTCACCATTGTCGCACCATCGTGTAAGTCTTTGTGTCCCCAAAGACCTACCAGGACCTGAAGAGGTTCGCCATGTTCAACGAATGGCGGTGCGCATGGACACAGCGCCCCCTTCAGGAGACAGCGAGAGTGAACGTTTAGTGTCTTGCCTATCCCAGATGTTCATTCTACAAAACTTTATTGATCCTGAAGAAACGCGCTCTCACCTTGCCTGTACTACTGTGTATGTACAACAAAATGACAGTAAACCTGATTTAATTTTGATTTGATTTGATTTGAAGTCATAGTACCACTACTCACAGCTGCAATCTGTGTCCCCCTAAAATGAAGCTATGATCAGTGCGCAACCTTTACAATCTATCTCTGAGACAGTTCATACCTTCAACAGATGACATCCAATAAAACAAACCTTGCTTGCCCTTTGACACAAAACTGCAAGATGAAACTTTGCTGAAGAACATGAAAAGAAGCCTGATGAATCCTGGGAATCTTTGGTCAAATACGACCAATTTTGTTGGACTCAGATGGGTTCCAACATGCTTGGTGGTAACCTGGTTAGGACTACCACAGTGAATACACAGTCCTGACAGACAGTGAACACAGAGGAGGGAGTCTGATAATATGAGGCTTCATAACTGCAAAAGGTGTCATAGAGATGATGATTGTCAGTAGATGTACCATAGTAGTGGCTGACAAGATGAACACCAGTCTGCAGAAGAGGAATATTTCAGCTTGATCACGATGCCGAAATCATCGCATCAGTATCACTCTTCTATTAGCCATCCAGCGCTATCAAGCGCTATGAGATGACTTGTTGTTGTAAATATGCGCTATACAAATAAAATTGAATTGAATTGAATCCAGTTAACCTCTTAAGCCTCAGATGTTTTCTTTTAAACTTCATTGTAAGTCGCTGCAAATCTGTGAGGTCAGACAGAACAAACTGGGGCTCTATGGATCAGAAACACAAGAAGTCTCCTTATATTGACTACCAGGCCAGACTGAGTTTTGGAAGTTATTGTCTTGATATATCCTAATAGTAACTTGTTTTGCAAGAAGTTATACATATGCCTATAGTGTCTTTGTGCAACCCGATGTTTTAGCTCAACAGGGCATTCTTAGGCCACAAGGTTCTCAACAGTGAAGGTGCTGTGACCTTCTACTTCCCTGCTCAGCAGAAAGGTATTTCTGATAACTGGCAGCTTAAGGATGTTTTGACTTTCTTCTCCTCTTCCTCCCTTTTCTAGGATCTAATAACAGTCTTTGTTCGTTTCAGACAGATATCTCTAACCACAAACACACTCCCTCATGCTACGTTAGGATTATCCCGTCTATGCCTACATAAGACTGAACATCGTGACCGAGCTTCAGACCTCACTCTGCAGTTCTCCTGTAAAGGGATTTCTCTTGTGCACAATAAAGGAAGATCAAGAAGCAACGATCCTGACCGAGCGTGTTCGTTATGTTGTAGCCTCCACAACAGCAACTCTATAAAAAGTGAAAGAACAGAAATGTAGCACAACAAACGCGATATCCACTTTAGACATCGTTGTACTCAACAGTCTCTTCAGTGTCGGTGCCACAGTTGGCAATAAGGCAGCATTTTTTTATAAACAGATACAGATTCATGCTGGTCCTGTGGCCTCCAGGGGTGGAAGGGGTTAAAGAGATAATCATTTATATGAAAATACTATATGAGTAGTGAAGCTATGTATTCACAACTGCTTTTGTTTGCTGTAGTGTTCCACGGTAGAGAAGCAGATCAAGTTATCCAGAACATTTGGGGTCAGTACCAGGGATAAGTGCTCTCCGATGGGACTGTGAAAACATTGGCAAAATGCAGCCGCACAAAATGCTAATGTTGGTCTGATGCTAATTTAGGGCTTGGCTGGACGAAGCGAGTGAAACCACAGCTTCATCTTGAAAGCATTAGTCAGACAACAGTGGGGATGTTTTCCAAAACCTTTAAGAGAATTCTACAACCATGAGCTGCTTGTGGGTTTGGATAATTTACAACACATTGTGGGCGGCTCAGATTCAGTTTGTCATGATGTGGTGTATTGCTCCTTAGTGTTTTCATATTGTTTAGGGTCTTGGTGAGTTGTTGTTTTTTTTTTTTACTATAATAAAAAGGATATTTAATAAGCTGTTCTTGCTCCTGTGTCTTAGAGGGAGGCTTTGAGTGCACTCAGGATCGCTGTGGGGAGGAGAGAAATGAAAACCATGCCTGCCACTGCTCAGAGGACTGTCTGGAGAGAGGAGACTGCTGCTCCAACTACAAGTCCCTCTGCAAAGGTACATATAGCATACCATAGGAGATATTTTTCCCGGTAACAAGCTTTAGCATTAGCGAATAAATGTGCAATAACCCTCCAAACCCTAAAACTACAAAAAATAAATAAATAAATAAATCCAAATCTAAGCTTAAAATTGTGATAATTCATCAAAACTTTATTCTACATGTCCTCTCATTTCAAAATTAAAACCAAAACATCAACCATCCATCCGTTATCTATACGCTGCTTAATCCTCACGGACAATTTAGAATCATCAATTAACCTCAACATGTTTTTGGACCTTGTGGGAGGAAGCTGGAGAACCCGGAGAGAACCCACACTGCACGGGGAGAACATGCAAACTCCACACAGAAAGATCCCGGGTGTCCTCACCGGGACACAAACTGGTGACCTTCTAGCTGCGAGGCAATGGTGCTAACCACCGAGCCACCTTGTAGTCAAAACATCAACCATTTGCACTAAATAGATTCTGTGAAGAAATGAAAATGCTGCACATTTCAGTACAACTGAAAAGATCTAACTCAGCAGCGACCCATAGTCAAGCAAGAAAAAAATTACAATATAATCATGGACCGTTTATTGAACTGAGCTGAACTGCAGACTGTGTTTACACCGAACAGAAATAAGACAACTAAGGAAACAAGTTTTAAAAAGCAGTAAAATATCTATAGTTGTACAGTTAAAAATCTATTTTTTCAGGTATTGTACCAGATGTACGCACTCGGACAAATTTCATGCATGTTCATTCCAGGTTTTTGGTGTTTTTCTAAGATAAATAGCTTTGTTAGAATGAACAGAAGAAATTTTTGAGTTCAATCTGCTTTAGTCATGGTTGCTCTGTTTCCGTAGAGATGCAGGACTTTATATTGCAGAGAAAAACGAGGTCACAGTCAGTAAAAATGTGACGGGAAGGTTAAAGTGAGTAATGTCTGTTTCCTGTCATTTTCTTTTCAGGTGAGACTTCATGGGTGCAAGGAGACTGTGAGGAGATCAAGAGTGCTGAATGCCCTGCAGGGTGAGACCGATGTTGTCTGTTGTGTTTTAAAACTCAGTATTTTAATATAAAATGTGATATGAGGTAACAAATTCCTGTGTAGTCATCCATCTTATGCAAATGCAAAGATAATGTTTTCAGTTTTCTAATTCTATTATTGTGGGAAAAGAATTCTAGCATTTGACTTCCCACCCTTCAGAGTTTAAGACAATGTGCCCCAGCTTTCACAATAAGAGAAACCAAATAAGAATCTTCAACTCCGCTTCCTGCAGTGATACTCAGGTGTACTTGACACAATATACCCCGACTCCACTGCAATGTTGAGGAACTTACAGGAGCCAGGTTAAAATACGAATAATCAAAATCTAATCAGCAGAGAACCTTCCCTCCATGTCAACACTAATCCTTCCAAATGTTCTGATTTGCAGTGTTTTGTTTTTGCAAACTGGGGCAAAAGCACCAGTTGAGTTTCCTGTGACCAACATGTTCTAGACTTAACCCAGCTTGAATCCAGAGTATGAGGAAGCATGCAACAGGCTGTGTAACCTGAGGGATGAACTACGAAGTGAGACTAATATGTTTCTAAGGGGTGGAGCCTAAATCCACAGGTGGATCAGTAACCGTGGCAACTGATGCTGCACAGCTAGCCTGCTCAGAATCAGCTTCTGTTCAGGGTTTGGGATTTAAATTGACTGTAACAAATCACCACCCTTCCCCACCCCATACTGATTCTCAACTGAGTGAATACACTATATCTGCAAACCTTCTGAACATTATGTTTGTTATTCCACTGAAGGAGTCTTGTGCAGATACAGCAGGCAAACTGGAAGTGTTGCCCCACAATGGGAACTTACAGGCGTTCAGATGGTGATGCAAGAAATGTGTAAAAATGTCTTAATTCTTGGTCCTGATTTGCTGCCTAGTTTCTTTTACACTGTTGCTGCTGCAGCTAATAGACCACAGATTGTTTAAAAGAATAAACTTTACAGTTTCAGAGCCCCAGTGTGAAGCCGTCACATTTGAAATAAGCAGCTGCATCAAGAGTGCACTGAAAATATACATATTCATGCACCACTTTTCTACCAGCATTCCTCTCTTGCACCATTTGCAGTAACACCCGTTTCTCTACGGTAGGCAGCACAACTTAGCTCTAATTTCTGCAGAAGAGTCTAATGATGCATCAAACACTTCCTTTTATGAGATTATGCTCAGAGTTTGATGAACAAAATCCTGGTTAAAAAAGTTGCTAACCATTGTGGCACCCATCATTGGTTGGCATTTTAAGGTTTGGTAGAGCCAGCTAACTCAAAGAAAGCCTGGCTTTGTTAAGCGTGCTTCATGTTACACAACTCTGTTGGACAGTGGACTCAAAGTAGATTGAAATTTGAAGAAAAAGCCAGATTAAAATAGGAATCATATTTGAGTTAGATGAGGTCAAGAGGACTCTTAAGGGGTCAAACTCCACAAACACTGGGTTCTACATTCTTATCAACTTGTATGATTAAAGTGATGAGGAAGGGGCAGAATAGTGCTTTTCTTACATTAAAGCTCATCTCTGGCTCAGTGCCCTTTAAAGTTACCCCTTAAGGACTAGAAACAACTTGTATGTCTTCGACCTTGTAAGCAGATCTTATCCAGAAATGTTTTAGGAGTTGGATGTTGTTCTCAAAATGACCTTATCAGTGTGATTCCTCTTGCTGTTTTTGAATTTTGTCATTCTTCTGCTTCTGCAGCTTCATCCGTCCTCCTCTCATCATGCTTTCTGTGGACGGGTTCAGGGCCTCCTACCTGAAGAAAGGCAAATCTGTCATCCCCAACATACACAAACTCAGTATGTCTTCTTCTTATTGCACCTAAATGCTGTTGTAGGGACTCATTTCTGTGGCATAAATAAGACCCTTTCTAATGTTTTAGGTGTAGATTAGCTGCTGATTATACCTATCATCTAGTAAACTGGAGGTTTTGAGTTTGTGTTTTGTGCCTAAATTGCTGATACTAACCAGTTTGCATTTGTTTCCTCTCAGGAACATGCGGTACGTCAGCACCATACATGCGACCGGTCTACCCTACCAAGACTTTTCCAAATTTATACACCTTGGCAACAGTAAGCGACCCGGCTTCGTGTTTTCATCATGTAGCAGTAGAAGGTACCGTTAGGCACTGCTGGTAATGAGTACTCTTGAGTTAGACCGCTGAGTAAACACAAATGTTTGCCAATACACTGTAAAAGTTGTTACCAAACTATAGTTTTACACTTTGAAAAAAATAAATGTTGTAGGATGACCAAGAAATAGACCAGCTTATAAAGATACAATAAAAATCCATGAATTCTATACATTTGATTTGTTACAGATGTACACGAGATCATGTGTATTTTAAAAATATTTTTAGATTTGTTATGTTAATTTAATATCTATATGGGTAAAACAATAAAACTTGTTTCTATATAATGATTATATTAATAAAATAATCATACTACTACTACTGCCATTAATAATAATAGCTTATTTTGTGCTATTTTTATGCTAATAATGTATTGCTTTACAATAAATTATTTATTATTTTGTCATAATACATGCACAACATACGCTACATGTTGTGCTTTTTTGTGAAAGCAATATGTCATTTTACATGAAATTATTTAGCATCGTTATAATTTACTGAAATTTTAATGCATTTAAAAAAAACCTAAAAAAACATGTTGGGACAGATTTTTAACAAAATAACTGCAGCGTTGTTACTCTGTGCGATCTGTGTGCAGGGTCTGTACCCAGAGTCTCATGGGATTGTGGGAAACACGATGCATGACCCGGTGTTTAACGCCACCTTCAGCCTGCGCACCAGAGAGAAGCTGAACCACCGCTGGTGGGGAGGACAGCCGGTGAGTGGGAAGATTTTATCTTATTTTCACTGTCAGATTTCAGCCTGAAGTCATTTGGACACACATAAGAGCGACGTTAAGTTTCTCATGACCTCCTTTCTTGTCTGTTTTGCAGATCTGGATCACAGCAGAGAAACAAGGAGTGAAAGCCGGCACTTTCTTCTGGCCTTGGTACTTAAGTTAGTACTGGAATATTCTTCAATAGCTTCAGATATTGAACTCTACTGAGCTCCTGCAGGGCCATGGTGGGAAATCTTTCTCCCACAAATCATTTTCATTTGACTTGTTATACATTTTTAAAGAGTATTTGATGCATTTGCCCCTAATCATGATGGCCAGCTGCTGTACCCGTCCAGTCCAGTTGTAAAACCCTAAAGTTTCTGCAGGTACAAATTAGAATAGACATGATGGTGGCACTTTACATGATGCATTTGTTGCTATGACCACCTTTCATAGCGCAGCACAGTGCAGTAACTTTACATGGAAAGTCTATTGTCAGTTCAGTCACACCGACTTGGGCCTGACATAATATATAAAACTGCATAATAATTCAACTCAGGCCTCCTGTATTGATCAGAGGGAAATCATTTTCCCACTGTGACCCTGCATGTGCTCTGTAGAACTCTGTAGCTGATCTGGTAGCTTTTGGTAGCTTTAGGAAGAAAAGAAAATAAGTTGTTGTATGTTTACACTGTTTTTGTTGAACATTCTGTGTATTCTCAATGTCAGCCTTCTGAACTCTAAATAGTTTCCTCGTATTTCTTTGTTCCAGTCACATTTTAATTCCCTGTGGGCTCGTTTTCCACTTCAATATAAAATCCTGCACCTCTATGGAAACAGCACAGCTATGGCTGGAAGTAGAAAAAAAAAAAAGCTGTTGTGTAGTATAACAAAAGCTTTAAAGCCATAAAAATGAAAAAAACAGCATTTTTCCAAGTGCTACCAATGCGGGCAAAAAAATGGTGGTTCTACAAATTGAGTTTTTTTTTAAATTTTTTTTTTTAACTTTGAAGCACAATTCAGACCAGTTCAGCCTAAAAATAGTTTTTGTCATGTGACTATCACTCACAGCTGACTCTCTAATGGCTTCACAATTGCATAAAAGAGCGCAGACTTTTTATTTTTTAATTTTTTATTTTTTTTACAAAATCTGGTTTGAACAAATTGTATATTTTGGGTTAATTTTTAAACGAGACATGTACAGGAAATATGATTATAAGCTTAGATTTGTTTATCAGATAGAACGTCACGTCACAGATTATAAGTACAATGACACTCCTTTCAGTTTTTACAGTTTCTGCCTAATAAATAATGTGTAATTTGGCAATTTTAACAACACAATATGTAGTACAAACTCACCAGCAGGGTTTAAGGTTTGTTGTATGGTTGCTTTTTTGCAGGTCATGTCTCATTTTATTTATTTATTTTATTTTATTTTATTTTATTTTTTTTAAGAAAACCTTTTAAGACCTGCTAAGTTTTGGGATTCAGAGGGTTAAAAATCTAAATATATAGCCAATACAAAATAAATCATGGCACATTTTTCGGAATGGTGATTTTCCAAAATACTATATTTGCAAAATTATACCATTTTGGTGGTAATTAATAAAGCTGTCAATGAGGTGATTATTTGATTAATCTGAGTGAAAAATAGCAGTTTTAAAGGTGAAATTGAACTCTTTTGATGTGACTAAATGGCTTTTCTAAAACAGTGAGTGGATACAGAGCACCGGAGAAAAACACCTTCAGCCGCACCTACAGAAATGCTCAACGTAATTTGTTCTGACAGACACAGATTCATTTCAGCAAACATTTGCATATCCATGACCTCACAATCACGAGGGCAGACTGACTAACAATGACCCAAAACACACACACAGACACGCACACACACACACAGGACAATACTCCTACACACTGCATCACAACAGAGACCATTGAAGACTGAACGCAGCCAAAAACCAGCAGCTTGACAATGTTCTGCTGATTTACATTCACGCCAGGAGCCTCAATTCATCGATTCAAGACAGAAAACAAAGAGTGGAAGACAAAACTCACACTGGTTCATTGTGTGGATCGTAATATTACTGATATCGATATCTGTATTGTTCCGAATAGGCTTCCTTATTATAGACACACCGACTCGTCCACATTTTTGCACACAAAGAACAACACACACGGCAAAAGAAATGTGGTCGTACGTTGTCGCATTGTATTTGTGTCCTAATTTAAAGCTTCTTAATCGTCAATAAATGTTTATTTCCAGGGTGATTCCTCTTGAAAGGAGGATTTTGACCATCCTGCGTTGGCTGCATCTGCCTGATGATGAGAGGTGAGTCACAAAAACTGTTCTCATACAACCGCTAACAGGTTTTGGGGTGTAAAGGGTTACAAAAGCAATCTTTTATAATCCTGCTTGATAATTCCTTATAGTTCAGTCGTTCTTTCCCAGTTGAAATAGCCTTCAAGGACCAGCTCAACTCATTTAGTGCCATTTTCCCTCAAAAAGTGACTGTAGCACCGACATTGTGACTGAAGCGCTGATAATGCATCAAAATGACTTGATTTCATTCATCAGTTTCATTTGCTGATTGTTGAGTCCTTTGGTTTGAAAAATCTCAGAAAACGGTGAAAAGTTTCAATCAGGCCCAAAGAGATTCCGTTTACAGTCATGAAGACGTAAAGAAACTATAGAATGTTCGAATTTAAAAAGCTGGAAATTAGAGAATTTTGATGAACTGATTATTATTCATTGCATCTCTAGTCCATCCATCCATTATCTACACACCGCTTAATCCTCACGAGGGTCGCGGGGGAGCTGGAGTCTATCCCAGCTGACTTAGGGCGAAGGCAGGGGACACCCTGGACAGGTCGTCAGTCTACCGCAGGGCTACACAACAGACAACCAAGCACACTCATATTCACACCTACGGACAATTTAGAATCACCAATTAACCTCAACATGTTCTTGGACCTTGTGGGAGGAAGCTGGAGAACCCGGAGAGAACCCACGCTGCACAGGGAGAACATGCAAACTCCACGCAGAAAGATTCCAGTGCCCCCACCGGGACGCGAACTGGCAACCTTCTTGCTGCGAGGCAACAGTGCTACCAACTGCGCCACCCTGCAGCCCTGCATCTCTAGTATAATCTTAAACATCAAACCTGAACATAACATTTACTTGGTCACAATTATTCCATTACAAAAAACGTTAAGTGTCACAAAGACAAAACTTTGCTGTCACTATGGTTACAGTTGTGTATGTGTATAAAGATGTATATTACCGGTAACTGAGTGGTGATCAGTTTTTGGGCAGAGGATCACCGTTTGGCACAACAAGTGCACCGTCTCATACCAGAGGGGTTATCTGGGTTAAAGTGGACTTCATGACTAAATTGCCGTCTTTCTTCAGGCCGTACGTTTATGCCGTCCACTCGGAGCAGCCTGACACCTACGGACATCGCATGGGGCCGCTCAGCAGCGAGGTGAGCTGCAGGAGTCACAATTTATTGTGCTTCGTCCAAAATGTTTCATGTCTCAGGTTGAATAATTTGCACGTATACGTAGGTTTAGCTCATCCAGACGAGACAGAGACAGTAGACAGTCTAGTAGTACTCAAGGTTCCAAGTATCCCCAAAAACCACCAACAAATAAAATCTATACCGCCTGCAGACTCGTTCATGTTAATGACTGCTGGAGCAAAGCTATTAATTTTTTTTCTGTTTTGTGTCCGCAGCTGGACAACCCTCTGAGGGAGATCGACAACATCATCGGTCAGCTTATGAACGGATTGAAGCAGATGAACCTGCACCGCTGCATCAACGTCATCATTGTAGGAGATCATGGTATGAACCCCCCATCACCTGTCACGTTCAGAGGTTTCTGGGAATTACAACTTCCTTTTACACAATGCTCATTTTAAATAGGTATAACTTATAAAATGACTCAAATGGAGACAAACTCAAGAAGGACCAAACACATCATGTTGCTCAACCCAGTGTTTGAGTGAGTTTAAACCGATTGATTCAAAATGTCCAGATTCAGTCTGTGTTAATGCAACTAAATAATGACGTATGCTGACAGTTTTGGTTCCATGAACCAGGCTGACCTGCTGATGTTGGTTTCTGTCTGAACTTCAAAGTGATGGAGGTGAAAGGAATTTAATTATTAATGCTCAAAGCAAAAATCTACGCTCTATCTGTGGAGAATAAATCTCTGGTTGATCTGGATTTTCTATTTCTGCAAACCTGATCAAACAGCTCCCAACAAGGTGCAGGGGTCAGGTTTGGGTCGTTTTTAACTATTCCAGTCCTCTGTGGTGCAAGGAGATGCTGAGGATAATGTCCAGTGGATACATTGAAAGAAACTCAGCATGGGGGCATTGTGTTGCATGAACCCGACAGGCTAAAGATCAACAGGAGACATTTTTCAGCATTTTTGATTGATCACAGCAGGAAAAACACGGGTGTTTTAATAATGGCTGCATTACATTAAGTGTCCTCGTAAGTCATGGAAGCCACAGAAATGGGACTTTTTGTAGCAAGAGAGCCCAAAGCACAATGAATTTAAAGAGGAAAAAGAGTGTTAAAAACTTAATTGCAAGAGATCGTTTTTGGAGAAGGGGAATGTGTGCAGAGCGGGATCTGCCGGGCGGGACAGCATTGGAGAGTAAAGAGTTTGGAGTGGAGTTTGTTGTCTGGCTGGCACAAGAATTCAAGGCACAGAGAGAAAATTATTAACATGAGGAGATTCACAAGTGAGATCAGAGAGTTGGCCTGAGAGTGTCTGGCTGCTGAACCATCTGGCAAAGAGTGGTGGAGAAGGCGGGTTGTTGTACTGGTGGAGGTGATGAGGTGATGAATAGTAGATGTTTCAGCTACGCCCTCAGGCACACGAACACAGACGAACGCATGCACCAACAAAAACAAAGAAGAAGGAGATCCATTCCATTATCTGTACGGCCATTACCTTATCGTATATCGTACAAACCAGTTTATTATTAGGAGGGGTAGCAGCATTTTGTGCAGTGTTACAGTTATAATATCACAAATCCTAAAACAGAAAAAATAAAACCTCACAACTTCACTAAAAGCACCCTCACTCCTAATGTGGCCAAACAAAGGGAGTTCTGGGGGTTTGTGACCATTTAAGTTTCCAAGCCTGACACAGTCGCCAGCAAACATGAGCGAAACAGTCAGAAAAAAGTATAGAGTGTCCAAATACATAGTATGTTAAATGTCAGAAATACCAGGATGACCCACTTTGACGGTCACAACACTGTGATGAAGTAGTACACCACAATTCTATGCAAACTGCATGCAACGTAAAGGCAGCTGCACCACCTACTGAAAGTATCTGTAACTGCTGAAAGTGCTTTTCCTGATGCTAACATCCTAATATTCCCCCCTGACCTGAATATCATCCCTCCTTCGCCATTATGGAGGATCTCTGTTAGATAAATGCACCTTGAGAAGACGAGCAGAGAGGAAGCAGGTATATCCTACTTCTAAGTCTATTATCAATGTAAACAAAGGTTTACATGTTAAACTGCTGAGTTAAAATGTAAACTCCAACATGATAAAAAAAATACATAAAGAAGCGGGATTATCATTTAAGTCAGTCGTGCAACTCCTAAAGAGATTCAAACGTCTTCTCAATCCTTAAAAAAAGGGAAGAAGTTCAATCTCTGTAATAGACGTAATAAAACATGGACACAGTGAATATTTTCTAAAGTCACAAAGCAACAGAAACAGCTGCTTTTTTGTAGGTTGTATTTGTAGTTTTTAATTAATTTTGTAGTCTCTGATTTTGGGATTAACTTCTGTGAATATACAGCTGAATTCACAGCACAGCCGTCGTCTTTAACTTATGGTGAGTTTTTCAAACATTATAAACTCAGGGTTTTAGTGGCGCAGAGCATGTGAGGTGTCACTATTTCATACTCATTCTGTTGTCGAACAAAAGAAAAAGAAAAATGTGTAAATGAAAGCAGCTTTAATGCGAATCTAGTTCAATTCAATTAAAATGCAGAAGCAAAGAGAAGCAAACAATAAACAAGTGCCTCCTGTGTTTTTTTTCTCTTAAAGTGTTCATGCTGCTTTGTTCTGACATCCACACTCTGCTCGGTGTACAAACCACCTTTTTGTTCTGCGGTCACCTGAAGTAGCCCCAAACTTTAGAAGCCTTGGCTTTTCACAAGCTTTTGCATTATCTAAAACTGTAGCGCTGACAACCAACCAATGACTGGAGCCATAAATGACTGATGCCAGTGACAATAAAGACAAGCTAAGAACAAAACATGCTGCAGCAGAGTAGTATTTCTAAAGTTCAAATGAGTCAAACTGAGTTGGGAAGCAGACAGTAGAACAAAGGTTATTCTTCACCTGTCACTTTAAGATGTGCTTTAATGACTAATCAAAGGCACAGGCCGGTTAACTGTACTCCTTCTCTACAAAATAAATACCAAAACCACACAAGATAAAGGAGAACCATAGTCATCATTTTCATCTTCATTTCACAAAAATCTGTTTAAATACCACTCCAGTGAAAATCAAAGTCCATTCAGTCAACAGAATCCCAACCCAACATCAGAAACAGACCAAACAGTTCTGTTTTAGCATCCTGATAAAGAAAACCAGAAGATCCTAAAGTCATTAAGAAAAGCTTCTAAATAATATCAATTTAAGAAGGAATTGTAAATAATAGATTTCAGTTCATTTCAAAGCTTTTCAGCACATTTCAACTTGTTTGCAGTTAAGCTTTCTAGGCGTGGGAGAGTATATATGAGGTATGAGGAAGCCAGGCGAGGACTGGGATAATGTTGCCTGAGCTGAGGCAAGAGAAGCCTGGAGATTTGCTCATTTAAATAAAGGAGACTTATCTTAACCATCGTCCAGTGAAGCATCCGTGCAGTTGTCCAAGCAGCCACAGAGGAGATGAAATGCGGTGCATCCAGTCCTGCTCCTGAATCACAGCAAAATATCCCATATCCAGCCGGTTCTGGGTTCCACAGCTGCTCCATTTGCGCTAATACATCCAATTTTAAGCGAAGATGACCACAACTGGATTAGTCTTTCTGAAATCCTCCTTTTCCCAACTTTGAATTCACTCTATTGTTCTCCACGCCTCCTTTGTTCGCCCCACTCAGCTCACAGGTGCTTTAACACCTCACTTCCTGTCTGCACTTCCTGTCAGGAGGAATAAAGGGCTGTTCTGGTAAAAATATAAATGTTCAATTATAGCAACTAATCACAAGAGATCTAAAATGTTTGTACGTGTAGCTCATGTTAATTTGAGGTGTAGTGACCCTTTTATGGACACTGAAGGGGTGTAAACCAATAAATACTTAGGTTTGCGCCAACAAAACCCAACAATTATGAGTCTATGCGGAAACAAGTACCCTTCCTATATGCGACTTTTTAAAAAATTTTTTTTATTGTTATACTGAATTTTGACTTTTTAATATAATCTTTTTTTAATGTAAAATGCCAGCACGCCTTATTTCATCTGCCAACATGATTTGGACGTTACTTGGCATTTTATTTTGCACATTGCTTCCTTTATATATATATATATATTTCTTTAAATGTGTGAGCTTCTGAATATCTTGAATCTGTCTGATAATAAAAGTAGAAACTATGACATTGTCTGTTTCTGTATCTCAGGTATGGAGGAGGCCCACTGCGACAGAACAGAGTTTCTCAGCAGTTACCCGCTCAACATAGAAGAGATCATGCTGATCCCCGGGTCGCTGGGCAGAATACGACCTCGAGACCCCAAATCCACCACATGTGAGACAACCGAGCCTCGGTTTATCCATATCAGATGATTTTGAATACAAAACAGGTTTCATATTCCTCATTTCTTCATATTTCTGTTTCCAGATGACCCAAAAGTTGTGGTTGCAAACCTCACTGTAAGTACCGACATAGTACAGACCCAACACTCCAGCGGTGCCTTCACTTGTCTGTTTGCATGTGCGAGGTTTTGCGTCATTCATTTTTGTGTTTCTTGTTGTTTCAGTGTAAAATGCCAACTCAGCACTTCAAGCCATACCTGAAGCAGCATTTACCCAAAAGGCTTCACTACGCCAACAACCGCAGGATCGAGGACGTCCACCTGCTGATGGAGAGGAAGTGGCACATCGCCAGGTACACGTTCGGATTCAACTCAGCTGCACGAGCTTGTTTAAACACCAAGAAATCTTCGTCTTATTAAGAGTCAATAGAGGGAGAAATTGGAGCATCACAAGAAAAAAACTACCAGTTCCCCATTTTACATTTTCGTGAACAAAAGTTTACATACACTAAAGACCAAGTATATCATTGGCAGTCTTGAGTTTACAATGACTCCTATACTTCTGAATGTTTTGTAATGGAATCATTGAAACAGGAAAAATACAATCCTGCATTTTGATTCAGAGATTTTTTTATTGGTCTTCTGGAAATAGGACAAAATCAGAGTCACTGGAAACTCAAGACTGTCGTGATGTACATGGCCTTTATAAGTTGTGTGTAAACTTTGGTACGTCTTGAGAATCTTAATTGATCTGAATCAGATCCACCTCTAAGTGAGTTCGGTGTCAGATCCAGGTGTTTTGGATGCCTGACAGTGATAGCATTTCAGATTTGCTCACATTTTAGCTCCAGAAACCAAAAAACTCCTTCAGCACCTGCATTTTCTGGTGTCGTTGTTCAGTTTCAATCAAGAATTTCATTGGTTAAAAAACTATCTATTTCAGGAAAATGCCAGAAAAACTGAGAACTCGCTGTGGTTTCTTCGGTGACCACGGCTTCGACAACAAGATAACCAGCATGAGGGTACTGTACTGTGTTCAAGTCTTCCCCCTGTATTACATCTACCGTGTACTCTCACTGTATTTTTTTAAGGTGTCATTGTTTTGATCAGTGGGTCGCCTTTTGTTCTGTATCATGTGGTGCCTACATGGACGGTTTACAGCAGCCCTCGGTCTGTACATTAAAGTGTTATCAGAAGTGTTCATCAGGTTGGACACAGTTACACTCATTTTATCATGATCTAATGCTAGTAGCAGAAAACATCAGTCAGAGTGATCATCATGTGTAGACTGTAGTACTGAGTAAACATACAGTTTGTAGGAGCTCACATTTCAAATAAGTAAGGGAAACATATGAATATCTGCCAACTAAATCGTTACCAAACAATTTCTTCACCAATATGTTGGTAAAGGTGTGTAACAACATGCCCTAAAATGTTGAAGTTCAACTCCTGTGGGAAACCTTAAAAAACCTGCTCAAGTTAGGGTACCGATAAATGATTGACAACAAATAGATTTTTTAAAAATATAGCCTTAAGTAACTTATGAGGGATCAAATCAGGGTTTGTTCATGATTCTGAGTTGATTGTTAGCATTTATATTTCACTACAAACACTTCTTTGTTGAAAAAGGCCACACTCACTTTTACATTTACATTCACAGTAGCTTTTATTTCACATACTTATATAATACTCAGTTATTTCTCATTCAGTGTCAGAAGCTTCAAGAGTCATCGTCTATGTCTTCTTCAGACTCAACAACGTCATGACTACAGTTTCTGCATGTAATGATTTACAGACTCCACAGGCCCAGATGCTCGTGACCCCATTCTTCTCACAGCTGCACCTCCAGTTGCTGCAATCTCCATGACAATTACAGCTCGTCAACTTCAGTAGCTCCTCAGGAGCCATGGGGTCTAGTGTTGGAACTGGCTCATACCCATGCACACCTAATGTCCATCCATAGTCACTGGGCTTCAGAGACCCGCTCTGTACAAGGATCCAGTCCTGGTCTGCAGGTAGGCTCAGAGTGAATGCTGTGCAGCTGCACCCTCTGATAGAGGTAGAGTCTCTGGTTTGATCACTCCTGCCTTCATGGAGAACATGTTGTACCAAATTTCACCCAATGTAGTATCTGGTCCATGGTAAATGTACTGGACAATCACAGTACCGGCCTGAATCACTGCCTCCTTGGTGACGTCTGTGTCAAGGAAGATGTCCATGCACTCATCCACGTCCCCTGCACAAAACCTGAAAAAGTGCACCAGGTTTGTGTCAAGTATCATGTGAAACAGAAATACATTTTTTATTATTATTTTAAATATTTTTACTATGATGACAATAATGATGATGATTATTTGTTGAAGTAATAGCTGTATTATCATTATTACCTGTCAAATAGAGGTGTGTTCCCATGGCCAGCATGAAGAATCTCTCACGGTTTCTGCAATTGCTGGCTGTGGGAACACAACTCTGTTTGACAGGTAATAATGATAATACTATTACTTCGACAAATAATCATCATCATCATCATCATCATTATTGTCATCATAGTAAAAATATTAAAAATAACAATAATAATTGTACTTCTGTTTCGAATTTGGTACAACATGTTCTCCACGAAGGCGGCAGCAGGGGTGATCAAACCAGAGACTCTACCTCTATCAGTTGGTGCAGCTGCACAGCATTCACTCTGAGCCTACCTGCAGACCAGGACTGGATCCTTCTACAGAGCGGGTCTCTGAAGTCCAGTGACTATGGATGGACATTAGGTGTGCATGGGTATGAGCCAGTTCCAACACTAGACCCCATCGCTCCTGAGAAGCTACTGAAGTTCACTGTAATTGTCATGGAGATTGCAGCAACCGGCGGTGCAGCTGCAAGAAGAATGGGGTCACCTGCATCTGGGCCGGCAGTCATGATGTTGTTGAGTCTGAAGAAGACATAGACGATGACTCTTGAAGCTTCTGACAGTGTGAATGAGAAATAACTGAGTATTATATAAGTATGTGAAATAAAAGCTACTGTGAATGTAAATGTAAAAGTGAGTGTGGCTTTTTCAACAAAGAAGTGTTTGTGGTGAAATGTAAATGTTAACAATAAACTCAGAATCATGAACAAACCCTGATTTGATCCCTCATAAGTTACTTAAGGCCGATTTAAAATAAATAAATAATTTTTCCGTCAATCATTTATCGGTACCCTGACTTGGGCAGGTTTTTTTAAGGTTTCCCACAGGAGTTGAACTTCAACATTTTAAAACATGTTGCTACACACCTTTACCAACATATTGGTGAAGAAATTGTTTGGTAACGATTTAGTTGGCAGATTTGTGAAATATCTCATAAAATGCCCTTACTGTAACTGGTTTTACCTTTTAAATCTGATTTTCACTCGTCACCAGAGGAANTAAAATGTTGAAGTTCAACTCCTGTGGGAAACCTTAAAAAACCTGCTCAAGTTAGGGTACCGATAAATGATTGACAACAAAGAGATTTTTTAAAAATATAGCCTTAAGTAACTTATGAGGGATCAAATCAGGGTTTGTTCGTGATTCTGAGTTGATTGTTAGCATTTATATTTCACCACAAACACTTCTTTGTTGAAAAAAGCCACACTCACTTTTACATTTACATTCACAGTAGCTTTTATTTCACATACTTATATGATACTCAGTTATTTCTCATTCACCCTGTCAGAAGCTTCAAGAGTCATCGTCTATGTCTTCTTCAGACTCAACAACATCATGACTGCAGTTTCTACATGTAATGACTTACAGACTCCACAGGCCCAGATGCTCGTGACCCCATTCTTCTTACAGCTGCACCGCCAGTTGCTGCAATCTCCATGACAATTAGAGCTCGTGAACTTCAGTAGCTCCTCAGGAGCCATGGGGTCTAGTGTTGGAACTGGCTCATACCCATGCACACCTAATGTCCATCCATAGTCACTGGACTTCAGAGACCTGCTCTGAAGAAGGATCCAGTCCTGGTCTGCAGGTAGGCTCAGAGTGAACGCTGTGCAGCTGCACCCTCTGATAGAGGTAGAGTCTCTGGTTTGATCACCCCTGCCTTCATGGAGAACATGTTGTACCAAATTTCACCCATTGTAGTATCTAGTCCATGGTAAATGTACTGGACAATCACAGTACCAGCCTGAATCACTGCCTCCTTGGTGGCGACTGTGTCAAGGAAGATGTTCATGCACTCATCCACGTCCCCTGCACAAAATCTGAAAAAGTGCACCAGGTTTGTGTCAAGTATCATGTGAAACAGAAATACATTTTTTATTATTATTATTTTAAATATCTTTACTATGATGACAATAATGATGTTGATGATTGTTTGTTGAAGTAATAGCTGTATTATCATTATTACCTGTCAAATAGAGGTGTGTTCCCATGGCCAGTATGAAGAATCTCTCACGGTTTCTGCAATTGCTGGCTATGGGAACACAACTCTATTTGACAGGTAGTAATGATAATACTGTTACTTCGACAAATAATAATCATCATCATCATCATTATTGTCATCATAGTAAAAATATTAAAAATAATAACAATAATAATAGTATTTCTGTTTCGAATTTGGTACATCATGTTCTCCACGAAGGCGGCGGCAGGAGTGATCAAACCAGAGACTCTGCCTCTATCAGAGGGTGCAGCTGCACAGCATTCACTCTGAGCCTACCTGCAGACCAGGACTGGATCCTTCTACAGAGCAGGTCTCTGAAGTCCAGTGACCATGGATGGACATTAGGTGTGCATGGGTATGAGCCAGTTCCAACACTAGACCCCATGGCTCCTGAGGAGCTACTGAAGTTGACGAGCTGTAATTGTCATGGAGATTGCAGCAACCGGCGGTGCAGCTGTGAGAAGAATGGGGTCACGAGCATCATGATGTTGTTGAGTCTGAAGAAGACATAGACGATGACTCTTGAAGCTTCTGACAGGGTGAATGAGAAATAACTGAGTGTTATATAAGTATGTGAAATAAAAGCTACTGTGAATGTAAATGTAAACGTGAGTGTGGCCTTCTCAACAAAGAAGTGTTTGTGGAGAAATATAAATGCTAACAATAAACTCAGAATCATGAACAAACCCTGATTTGATCCCTCATAAGTTACTTAAGGCCGATTTAAAATAAATAAATAATTTTTCCGTCAATCATTTATCGGTACCCTGACTTGGGCAGGTTTTTTTAAGGTTTCCCACAGGAGTTGAACTTCAACATTTTAAAACATGTTAATACACACCTTTACAAACATATTGGTGAAGAAATTGTTTGGTAAGGATTTAGTTGGCAGATTTGTGAAATATCTCATAAAATGCCCTTACTGTAACTGGTTTTACCTTTTAAATCTGATTTTCACACGTCACCAGAGGAACCATTGCCTCTGAGTGCTGTGATTCATTATACTTGACATGTACATTTCTCTCTCTCTTTGTTTTTTTGCATGCAGACGATCTTTATGGGCCACGGGCCAAGCTTCAAGTTTCAAAAACGAGTGCCAGAGTTTGAGAACATAGAGTTATACAACGTCATGTGTGGTGAGTGATTTACTTTAATGATGGGCCTTCTTTTGTACAAATGGAAGCCTAAAGATGTGATCGTCTTTTTGATTACGTAGAGAGTGCTGGTTTTTGCAGCAGTGGAGAATCCTGCAGAGCTTTTTCAAGACACATTTTTCGATGCAATATAAAGTCCTGTACCTCTACGGAAACACAAAAACGATGACTAGAAGTAGAGAGAATTTAGAAATGTTTTCTGTAAAGTATAAGAAAAGTTTAGATAAATAAATCTTTAAAAAAAGAAAAAACAAGCTAAATGTCTTTGATGTTTTGTTGCACAAAAATAGAAAAAAAAATGTCCTTAGTGTGTCCAACATTATCCCAAGAGTCCACAGTTGTTATCTATACTGAAAAACAACTTCCAACACTATAAATACTTCACTGCTTACATTTTTAATCTGTTTCTAAATGTGTCTCCTCTCTGCTCTGTGTCAACACCACAGCCTGCAGTTCAGCTGAAAAGTCGAAAAACTTGTGTCACGTGATTCTCGGTCACTGCTGAGTTACTAGTAGCTTTACTGTTGCACTAAGGAGTGCAGAATTTGTCGTCTTTCACAGACATATGTTAGTGCAAAAAACTTTTAAATGTAATGTTTAGATTTAAGCTCAAAATCATGAGTAGCAATAGATTTTCCTGACAGAACGGCACTTGACAGATGAGTAGTTTAAATTTGAAAATCTGTTCTGTTCCTGGCTCTGATGAAAATGTTTAGGGGTTCAGAGCATTAAAAGCAGAAACAAATATTTAATATATGGTTCTTTCTTTGCAGATCATACAGAATTGTTCATTTTTTGATGCAAATTACTTCTTCCACCTACTAAACCAAAACAAACCAATTCATTATTCCTCAAAATGTCAGATTGAAATGATGCTCCTCAGCCGGCTGAGCCTCCTCCCTCTGCCTTCTGTTCCTCTCGCCGTCAGACTTGTTGGGGTTGACGCCAGCTCCAAACAACGGGACCCACGGCAGCCTGAACGACATGCTGAAAGAGCCGCCGTTCCATCCCAGCATGCCCGACGAAGTCACGGCACCGTCGCCAGCGTCCGCCTCCGACGGCAGCGTGACACAAGATCTGGGCTGCAGCTGCGATGACGAGGTGACGTCACCGATAGGTCACCTCTGACGTCAGATTACACTGAGCTGACTGCAGCTTCGCTCTCTAACTGTGCGACTGTGTTTCAGAACAAAGTGGAGGAGATCATTGAAGCTTTTAACCCGGCACCGGATGGAATCTACAGTTACAGTAGGTTTCTCTGTCTGGAGGTGTTGAAACATGCACAATGGAACAGCTGTACTTTAGCAGCAGCTGAGGAAATCTCTGGTTGTGTGTCTTGTTTTGAAATAATTTATTTGTGGTTTGTGGACCCTAATTAATGCATGAAAAGTATCCTGACAGCTAAAGAGACAGAACAGTGTATTAATGTAATCATTCATCAAAGGAACCAAAGCACAGCAATAATTAAACCCTCAAACACGTCAGTGGGTTTATGATGCATATTATCTTTTTAAAAAATAACCAAAATGACAGCGTTTATCACTGTAAACACAGAAACAATCGTTAGACTTTTGAACTACTTGTGTGTATTTTGGTGTTTCATTGGAAAACTGAATCTTAGAATTGTGTTATTTTATCAAACTTTATTCTGCTTGTCTCATTTTAAATACTGCAAAATATAAACTATTTGCACAAACCAGATTCTGGAAATGACAAAAGATTTTTGTCACACAAGTGTCTTAAAAGGGAGAGCAAAATTTGTGATATTATGCTGGAATAAAATTTTTAAATAATTTTCTTGATAAATTCAGCATCATCTATCAGTAATTAGTGAACTCATATTATAAATTCAGCATGACAGTGATTATTTGTCCTGTGATGATATTTGTTTTATTCAACAGACACATATCAACAGCAAAGGTAGCATCATGACATGTTCCACTGGAATATATGAACATTGTTGTGGTCAATCTCAGCGTATCTTAAACACATGAGCTCATTAAGGCCCCTAAAGCAAAGCAGTTTTGGGGCCTTTTTTTGTTTTTTTTGCTTCTGTCACATTTTCACTGTGTTTTTGTCGAGTGTTTTGCCCCATTCCTCTCCGATTCATGTATTATTTAGCATCTGCCAATCCGATCTGATACTGTTTTACGACATAATACACACTTCAAAAAGTGTGGATTCGCTGTAGTACCTGGTTGTGCCACCAGGTGGAGGCTTTTAACTGTTTCAACCAGAGAAGCAGCACAGAGCATTGTGGGGGTTTAAATAGTAAATGGGCACCATGACAACGTTTTCTGTGAGCCTTAACCTCTTAGGACTTGGCATCACAGTAACTTTTTTAAAATATTTGTTTATTTTTGTTATTATTGTTTATTTCATTTTTTAAAAATTATTTTAAAAACATATTTTTAAATATATTGTCATTTTCTTTATATTTTTAATTTTCCTTTGCTATTTAATAAGATCAAATAGCAACGAGAAATAAGAGAAATAAAAAATGCATATAAAACAAGAGCTCAGGTCTTAAGAGGTTAAAGCAACATTTTTAATCATTTTTCAACAATACGCTGCTGCAAAGTTCACTCTGTCTACTGAACAATGCAGCTCTGACAATAGGTCGACTCCTAATAATCAAGCTAAATAGTTGAGTAAAGCTCATTTGGACCCTGTTTTTTTTTTTTTTTTTTTTAACCTCGAGAACAAAACTGTTTGGCCTCTTTACTTAACTGTCATTCTAGGGAATGGGAGTAAAACTTCACTTAGACTCAGATAAACTTTAATGATGCGTGAGGGAAATTGTTTTATCACAGTATCAAGGGCACAAAATGAATAATTATATCGGAATATACAAAAAAAAAAAAAAAAAGCAAGCAGGAAATATAATAATACAAAGTTGAACTCACTTTGTGTTTGTGTGTTTGCAGACAGCACCCATCTGCCGTTTGGTCGGCCGGCGGTGATGTTCGACACTCGCTACAGCCTCCTTCATCATGTGGAGTTCATCAGTGGATACAGCAAAGAGCTGGCCATGCCTCTGTGGACGGCCTACACGCTGCCACGACAGGTAAACAACACACACACAAACACACTTGGTGTGTTTGATCAACACATCGTATTGATTTTTGTTCCCTGGTCACTTATATGCCAAACCTTATTACACAGTATAACTCCTACAGATCTTTAGCAAAGTGTGACGTTTATCGAACTTTATATCACCTAAATTTGATTAAACAGGGGTTTTGTTTAATGGTTTTACTGGTAACAAGATGCATCATAGGTTTCAAGGGACAGTGATGTTCAAATTTTTGCGGATAGCAAGTCGATGTTAGTTCACCTTAAAAAAAAAAAATCAGCCTTAAGAGAAATGATCACACCTTCCTGGTAGACGTTTTAGTCCCTCGTGTATTTTGGTTTTCACATTTTGCAAAATAGCTCATAAGTGCAGTACTTTCTTTCTTCATTCAAATAATAATCATAAAGGAAGGATGCTCGATGGTAAAACAATTTCAAAATAAATCAATAAAACAATGCCACATAAGATAGTAAGAGAACCAATAATGTCACATCCACGTAAGGAAAAAGAACAAGTGGAGAAAAAGAAATTGGCTTAAAAAGGCTAAAAAATAATCATAATAGTAGTCGTAATAATACATAAATAGTATTAATATCTAAATAAAATAAATAAAGAGCAAAATAGAATAACATGAACATGTAAAATAAATAAAATCCAAAAACAAATTAGACAATTAAAATATAGGTCACATAAACAGCTTCCCCTTTAATGGATTATCTATTTGCCGTACAGTTCAAGTCTCTGTGGATCGATTTCGTCATAACACAAATGATGTGAAATTAAAAAAATGCCAGACACACACAAATCAAACTGAGGCTAAATTTTAAAAGATTTAACCAGACATTAGACAATCTGTGTTGTTTTCTTTCCAACACACACTGACGTCATGTGTTCTCTACACTTTGCCTTCACTAACAGCCTGACATCACCGTGTGGTAACGTCAGCCTTTCATTCATGTAAACTGGGTATCCGGTTGTAAAAAGCCGCCTCGTTAATCACTCCCAGCATTTGTTGTTGTTTGCAGTGAATGGCGGCGTGTTTGTGAGCAAACTCCCAACAACGCCAATAAACAGAGTGACTGAACACGCCTGTTCACCAGAAATGTTCTGCAGGTTTACTACATGCAGCTGCTCACAAACACATAAACACACTCTGTCATACACGAATGACAACACAAACACGCATGTGATCATGACTCAGATCAGAACGCCACACTTGATTTTTACTCACTTTTCCTGTTTTTTTAAGCTTTAACTCTATAAAACTCAAAACTCCATTGAAAGGTCTGAAAGTTATCTTTAATGAAATAAATCACCAAAATGGCACCATTTATCAGCTAGAAACCATGAAAAAGTGTCTCTGTTGCAAAAATCTACCAAATCTAAGCCAAAAATCATGGGATTGCATCAAAAACATATCATTTAACACCCATCCATCCATCATCTATACACCGCTCAATCCTCATTAGGGTCACGGGGGGCTGGAGTCTATCCCAGCTGACTTAGGGCGAAGGCAGGGGACACCCTGGACAGGTCGCCAGTCTATCACAGGGCTACACTTAGAGACAGACAACCAAGCACACTCACATTCACACCTACGGACAATTTAGAATCATCAATTAACCTCAACATGTTTTTGGACTGTGAGAGAACCCACGCTGCACGGGGAGAACATGCAAACTCCACGCAGAAAGATTCCGGTGCCCCCACCGGCGACCTTCTTGCTGTGAGGCAACAGTGCTACCAACTGTGCCACCCTGCAGCCCATCATTTAACATGGTTTTTGGAAAAAAATGCCAAAATAAACCATTTTGTCTTAACAGATTCTGTCATAAATGCAAAATATATATATATACATACATTAAAAACGCACTTCTCAGAACAACCAAGAAGCCATAAGTGACTCAACTACAACCAATCTTCTCTTTAGTTATGGTTTAGGGCATTGCAACTTTGCCATACTGCACAAAAAACACTTTGCATGGTGGAATACCTTTCTATAGTTGATGTGCAGAGTAGTGAGCTAACAGCTTGGGGAAAAAAGGCAGGAAATTGCTGTAAATTGGTAAAAATCTATAGTTTGTAGACTCACAGTTTAGCGTTCGTCATAATGCAAGGAAACATTTCTGAGTTCTCTCTACTTCTAGTCATGGTTGTTCTGTTCCCATAGAAATGCAGGACTTTAATAGTGAAAAATGAGGCTACAGGGAAGAAAAATGTTACAAAAAACAAAAGCAAATAAAACAGTCAGACACTTCTTGTGGTCAGATGGTCACTGTGATGATGGTTGATTAGAAAACTTTGGAAAAAGAGTTCACTTACTGGTTGTTTTATTGAGCTATCAGATTAATTCATGATGCTTCAGTTGTGTCTCATTCACAGCATGAAATTAAACTTGATCAAACCAGTGACTGACGATGTTTTCCCTTTAACTGACTGGTTCCATCACCGAGCAGCCTTCCATGTTATAATGAGAAAAATGACTGAATGAGGCCATGTTGTTAAAAGGCCAGAAACTGTTTGAGAGTTAACGGGTATACGCGGCGTCTTTGTCTCGCAGGAGGATGTGACTCCGGTCCCGGAGGTTTCTCCTGCCGTTCAGTGCATCCGAGTCGACTCCAGAGTGTCGGCTGATCACAGTCAGAGCTGCACCGCCTACAGCCAGAACAGCCACCTCACCTACGGCTTCCTCTTCCCTCCAGGTAAAGCTGCAGGACGAGCACAGGATGCTCAGTGGAGATGTTCCACCAAACGCAAGAGCTAATTTGTCATTGTCTCCCTCTTCTGGCAGTAGGAGTTAATACACAAACACTGTCCATGCTCATGACATGTGACTCACCATCTGTCTCTTTTTTACATCCTGTAATCCTTCCTCTGGAGTTGCTTTTTTGTCGGGATGCTTTCTAGGTTTTATATTCATCAGTTCCACCGTATTTCTGTCGCCACTGTTGCTTCTCTCTTCAGTTCTGGTGAACTAACTATTGCTTGTGGATGGAAAACACATCGCTTCTGGTGTCACCACAGACAGCAGATATAAAACTCCCATCAGAAACAGAGAGATTTACCCGATGTTGATAGGATTATCATCGACGCTGATTTCTGTGTAAAAATCCCACAATCCATCTGTAAGTGGTGGGCCTTTTGATTCATTATAGAATATCTCTGTCACGGGATAACTAGGCTGGTTGACTCAAGCGCAGAAATGACACAAAAAAATAAGGCTTATTGTAGAAATTGATGTAGTAAAGATGAGAAAGAAAATGAGGCGGGGGTGTTACCGGTAGGGAGTAGATTGTCCAGGAAGCCACGGAGAAGGCTCGGGTTTGGTGCAGGTGGAGACACAGACGGGAAGCGGGAACACTGGAGAATCCTCAGTGAAGGAAAGGCGGTCTCGCTGACACTTGGAAAAAGGCACGAAGGGAGACTCGAAGGAACATGAAGGGAACACTCGGGTGGTGGCTAGAAGTCGCCATGTAGGTCAACACTCAGGCAAAGAGGGAATGGTGAAAGCTCCTCTTATACAGGTGGTGACGACCCAAATGAACTGCAGGTGCGTAGCTCACACACCTGCAGGGAATCAGTCAATGAGAGTTCCTCCAGGACGCCCTCTGGTGGACGCCTGGAGGAGAACAAAAACACAGGGCCAGGAATCACCATTCCCTGACAATCTCTACGACAAATATGAATAGATTGTCCTCATAATATAATTCAAAGAACAAGGAACATGTTAGAAGTTGGCCTTTCTGGCTTCATCGTCCTTTAAATCCTGGAACTTTAATCACACTGATTCCCACTGATGAATGAAAAAGTCGTGCTGTAGCCGTAATAAAAAGGTGTGAATTATCGTTCGAATCCAATATGAAAACAATGTTTGTCTACTCAGATCCACTCATGTGTCCGTTTTTTTTTTAGGTTTTGGTTCATTTGTGCTCATTTAATGTAAATAAGCAGCAATTCTTCATGATCGAAGCTTATGTATACAGCATCATGTTCTGGAAATCTTGGACGTCCCTGATCCAGATTTGTGAATAACTGAGTGTACAAAAGATGAGCTGATTTCCAAAAAGTAAAAGGTAAAATGGTTCTTTCTAAATTTAAGCAAGACTTGAAGTGCTGCTCATTCTGAATGCTTCAGTGAGAAGAATGATTATATGTTTAGCTTGAAGACTGTAGTGTCCTAAGTTTCTACGTAGAAACTGAATAAACTTCCTACTGGCTTGCAACAGCTGGGATGCTATCTAGATGAGAGGGAAAAGCATCTTCATGTTTTTGAGACAGATTTTAGGATCTGGGACCTTAATAAAAGTTATCTGAGAGCTCAGAGCTCAGTTAAGTAAAACTTTTGCACAGTTGCTTTTCCTGTTTTCTCACTGAAATTGTACAAAACTAAAATAATCTTGCTTGAAATGCGGGAAAGAACGTTCCGTCTTTAACTTGTGACTTTTAGAAATCAGTTCATCTTCTAGTTACTGAACTATTCAGAAATTTGGGACAGAGGTGCCAAAACTTTCCAGTGCCTGTTCCTGTAATTTTCCCATTAGATGTGGTTGTACAATCTTGACAAAGTATCTAGTAACAAGGCAGTTTAAATTATTTTTTTTTCAAGCAGTCATTGCAATACCTGGCAGTCACTACAGTAGAAAGAATGATCCAGCAAAAATGATTAAGTATGAATCACTTTAATGGCAAATGTCAGCCAGATGTGGGGCGTGAACTATGATTCAGACCTCATTGATGATGTCTGTGCCAAAATAAAACTATGCTCTGATTGTGCATCTCTGTGAAGTTGCGACTGTTTCGTCTGAACTTGTCTAGACACGTAAATGCAGCGGAAGATGACAGCGTGTGATGTGTGTCTTTGTGTTGACAGAGCTAGCAACGTCTCCGGAGTCCAGATACGACGCTTCGCTCATCACCAACACCGTTCCCATGTACCCCGCCTTCAAGAGTAAGTCACTTCAAAGTCAGACAGCAACACAGGAAACCAAATCCCAACTTGAAATTCGATGATCAAAATGTGGGCGATCTGTTATTGCATTTACACAGTCACACAGTCCTACAAGACTCATGCATGCTATCACGTGGGTTGCATGTCTGCCATTCGTCTTGATTAGTGCAAGGTAATAACAACTTCACAGCAACAACAGATATTACAGCTATATAACAAATACCAGCAGTTAAGAAAAAGCCTTATGATGAAAGAATGGTCTTATGAAGAGATTGAAAAGAGGAGTTTTCTACAGGTGAGGGGCAGCTCAGAGACTTGGCCGATCATAGATATGGACATGGGGGGAATTTTGAATTAACTGCATCTTTGGCTTGCTGATGCCAGGATAAGGTGAGTCAAAGTCAAATGTGATTTTAAAAAAAGCACATTTAAGAACAACAGCAGTTGAACCAAAGGGCTGCACAATTAAAATAGCAGGCCATAAAACACAATGATAAAGTACAAATTTCAATTAAAAGTTACGACACGGTAAATTGCAGTCAGGGTGTCGAGCTCTAAACGCCAAAGAGAAGGGGTGGGTCTTCAGCTGCGAGTTGCGGGTTTCTAAAGTCTGATCAAATCCTAAATGAAGAGGTCAACTGTTCCAGAGATTAGGAGAAGCCGCTGTGAAGAGTCCATCGCCATTTTTTTTTTTTTTTTTTTGTGCCTGAATCTCCAGGAGCATCTGGTGGGTCGACTTCTAGTTGGTGCATGAATGTGCAAGAGGTCCGCTACATATGTTGGCACCGCCCCGTTTAACAGCTTAAAAAACAAGCTATGAAATCTTAAAATCAATCCTGAAAAGGACGAGAAGCCAGTGCAGGGAGGACTGAAATGGTGTGATCGCACTTTGTTTTTACCATTAGAAGGTGAGCAGCTGCAGCCACAGACGCTGATAAGACGACCATTTGGCACCACGACAACACAATAATATGAAAGTCTGGATCAGCCTTCACCGTGGCTGAAGGTCTTAACTGGGGGGGAAAAAAAAAAGAAGCAGTTCTGGACACTGAGTTGATCTGTCTGTCAAGTCTGAAGGAGCTGATTAAGATCCCTTCAAGGTTTTTCACAGAACATTGATTGTATTAAAGAAGCCATCGACCAAACACAGCAACCTCCATCAGTTTTAATATATTTTAGGCTCTCCAATGAAAGGGTGCACCAAGTGTTTACTTTTCATTTTTAATGGCAGATAGATTTGTATAAAGCTGTGAAAAGGAATCGTCTATTTCTTAAATACAGACTCCAATGGCAGCATGTACAATATTCACTTGCCTGTCTGTCAAATATGACCTACGTCGGTTAAGAACCGCACCTTTGATGCCAAAACGCTCTTCAAGGTGTACAGTCGCACAATAGTCGCTCAAATAACTAGAAACTGAAAAAAGTACGAATAAATACAAATTTGCTAAATTATAATTTAGTGAAATAAGACATTGCTTTTGAATTGTGGGTGACAAGAATAATTTTAAAAAAAAAAGTGATCTAGAAGTCTAGAACTCCAGAGTTTCCTAAATTAACACTTTAACAAAGATCATAAAGAAGTCTAAAAAGCCTGAAACCTTTCATAAATGTCCCAGTTGTCTCGCTAGATAGGAGTCAATAGTTTCATTGTCAAGTCTGGAGGGGATGAAGACGTGGACAATGTTTTCTCAAGCTGCAGAGAACAGGAATGAATGAGGTGTTCTTGGTTATCAGCTGGGCTAATAAGGACGGCACCACTTTGGTGGAGAGTCTGGAGCCAGGAGTCTTTCAGGTGCAGGAAATTGTGAGGACATCCAATTATTAACTTCAGCAAGGCATCATATAAAAGGGAGTTTGCATGTTCTCCCCGTGCAGCGTGGGTTCTCTCCGGGTTCTCCGGCTTCCTCCCACACAGTCCAAAAACATGTTGAGGGTAATTGGTGATTCTGAATTGTCCGTAGGTGTGAATGTGAGTGTGCTTGGTTGTCTGTCTCTAAGTGTAGCCCTGTGATAGACTGGTGACCTGTCCAGGGTGTCCCCTGCCTTCACCCTAAGTCGGCTGGGATAGACTCCAGCCCCCCCCCCCCACGACCCTAATGAGGATTAAGCGGTGTATAGATAATGGATGGATGGATCATATAAAAGACATCAGAATAAAGAAGCAGCCGGTTCTTGCGACAAAAAAAAAAAAAAAAAAGGCAGCTTACGTCTTAAAATTTCAAAAAAAAAAAAAAAAAGGCCACAGACATGAGCCTTGGTAACAGTGTTTGTGTTTGTTTTCCCCTTTGTCTGCATTTGTCTGGAAATGTATTCAGCGTAGGATGTTTTGACAGTTCCAATAGAGAGTTCAGAAGAACTCTGGGGATTTTTGTCCATGCCACAACAGAATAAAGACGTGTTTGCAGCAACGCGCCAAGCCTTTAGCGTGATGAGTCTGACATGTGAAATGGTGGGGTTTTTTCTGCAGGCTGTTTTTAATCTTCATTCTGTCTCTTCCTGGACGTCGGTGGCATTCAGTGGTGCCACATGAGACAAAGCGGCGGCCCACTGATGTCGGGTCTGGGCGAGGGCGGCCTGATACCGATTGTTTATGTGCAGAGAGAGAGAGGGAGGGAACTTATCAGGACAGAACACAGACTCCCTCTCTCTGAAAATAATTTATCATTGTTGACAGATTAGTGTCGGGAAAATGTATTCGTTCTAAATCTGGCTGGCTGCATCAGGACTAACAGGGAAAACGTGGGCAATGACATCAATGAAATCAAATAGAAACAAATCATAGTTTCCTTATTGGGGACTCAAAGTACTTTTCCTTAAATGTCAATGTTTTTGGAGTTCAGTTAAATTGAACTTCTTTAGAATTTTTTAACTCATCTCTCTCTTTCTTTATTTAGCTGTTTTTCCATCCTTAGTGAAAAAATCTTGCTCAAACTCGAAGCAGTTTCTGGGCGTTTTTTGCTCCTGTTTTAGTCACTGCAAATCATTTTTTCCTGTAATATTAAATCCTGCACCTCTATGGAAAGAATGACTAAAGTAGAGAGAAATTAGAAATGTCTTCTGTGCAGGTTTAATGCCTTAAATCATGAAAGGAAAATATTGAAAGTTGATATAAATTCTACAGAGTTTGAAAAAGCACGGAGATGTGTGCAACATTTTTTATAGTTCACAGGTTTTACCGATACTAGAGAAAAAGATGTTTAGATATTGTCAACTGAAAAGTCCCATACTTTTATCTTGGTCAAAGTGTAGTCATTTAGGTGCTACGGTTGCACTGAGGAGCACTGAATTTTTTATTTTTTTACAGAATATGGTTAGAGTAAACCGTTAAATGAGACGTAGATTAAGGTGATTTTGCTGAAATATCATGATTTTCTGTTTTTACAGTTTTCGGCTCGGATACATGGTGTCATTTTGGTGATTTTTTTTAAACACAACGGGCCTTTCTAGCTTGGGTTTTGGGGTTCTGAGGGTTAATTGATTGCTTGTATGATATTTATACAGAGCTTTCAAAGACAATAGTTAAATTAAGTCTGATTGTGGACTGCAAGGTGGATCAGTGGTTAGCATCGTTGCCTCGCAGCTAGAAGGTCGCTGGTTCATGTCCTGGTGAGGACACCCGGGATCCTTCTGCGTGGACTTTGCATGTGTCCCGGCACTTCCTGGTTGGTTCAATGCTTTTATTGGAAGGATTTTGTCAGAGTTTGTTAAACTTGTTATTAAAGGTCAGAGGTTCAAAAAGATGTACATGTAATCAACCATGTATAACTTTAAGGCAACATACGCTCAAGATAGTTAGGGTACATTGAGTCTAACTGGAAAAATTGCTGCTCGTCTGCAATCACTTGCATTATCGTGACCGCCGAACTCGTGACTACACCACAAAAGTCACACTTCTTGTGAAGGGGCAAGCAGGAAACCAAGGCAGACTCAGCTTCCTTATTTATTTCCTGCTTAGAGATATTCTTAGATTGCAAGTAATTGTAGAAAATATGTATGAAATCTGAATCAGTGGATTAGTCAGTAAAAAAAAGGAAGATCAGAGAAATGTTCTGTCAAATCTGTTGAACTGACAGATTTGCATTTCCTTGTTTCCAAACACCTGTAAAACACAGAAACAGAAGTGAAACAGATGTGACAACAGAAAAACTCAGGGATTCTTCATACTTTATCTTAGCACCACATTTCTGAAACTGTAATATGAGTTTTCCTCTTTTTATTGCATTTGCGCTCCTAATAACACGCGTACAAGCTGTTGTTGGCTTTAGGGAGAAACCTCTCCACTGATTAAAGCTGCTAAAGAAGTATTTCATTTCTTGTGTGTATGCAGGAATGTGGAGTTATCTCCAGGGGACGCTGCTGAGACGTTTTGCCGAGGAAAACAACGGCATCAACGTTCTCTCTGGACCACTCTTTGACTACAACTACGATGGGCTCCGAGACACCACAGAGAAGATAAAAGAGTGAGTTCACTGGGGTGACGACTGATAACACTGTGGCCACAACAAAACCTGCAGCTGCCCGGTGTGACGGCACTCATGTTTGTGGCTGCAGTGTGAAAAGGGCAGTATCACCAGACACACACACACACACACACACACACACACACACGGTGGGAAATTTTCCAGTCTTATCTGGAGAGAACACACACACTGACGTCATTTATAATCATAAATGAGGCTGTACAAATAAAGTATCTGCTTCAAAGTCCAGCAGTGGATTTGAAAAGCACGTTATCTTTAAAAATATATGTATCTTTAAAATGACTCAGTTTAGCATCACCAGAGGCTGCCAAAACAGAAAGATTAATGGGATTTTCAGCTTTCTGGTAGGTCTCTCCAAATCTAAAATAAAAATTGGGATATTTAAAAAAAAAAAAAGAAAAAAAGAAAAAAGAAAAGCCCTTCATTCTACACGTCATTTAAACTTTTTCCAAAAATTTAAAAAATCTAAAAACTAAATGACCGACAATCATGTGACAAAGAGAAAATCTGGAACTTTTCGGTTGAACTGCAGTGGCAGTGTTTACTGAAAGCAGAGAGGAGACAAATTAGAAATGAAAATAACTACATATGCTTTGAATGTAAAGACACTTGCAACAGTGTCATGTATTCCAATTATTTCAATTTTTGCAAAAGATTCCAAGAAATTCAGGTTTTGTTTTTTTGTTTGTTGCTGTTGCCTTTTTTCCTATTTTCTGACATTATAACTGTGTCATTTCTCACAAAATAACAAAAAACTATCTTTTTGAATTCCCTCTACTTGTGTTGTTTCCATGGAGATGCAGGATTTTATATTGCAATCAAAAATGAGCCCACAGTGAATGAAAATGTGATGGGACCAGAGGAAGGCCGCAGAACAATGTTCTCTCTTTTAGCATTGACTGGTTCTATTACACACCAGCCTTTCATGTCAAAATGAGAAAAACATAATTGAATAAGAAATAGAATCTTACAAATATCTTAATATTTAATAAAAAGAATTGTTAAAATGTGGAACTATTATCCTTATAGGAAGAAATGAAGTTTTACTCGTGGTAGGTGGTTGATGCTGTTTAGTAAAGGTTTGAAACCAAGTATTCTAGTTACCTTCACTTATTTACATCATGATATAAAAGGCTTTTATCTTTTTCATCTTTTTAATTACTGTAATTTCCGCACTATTAGTGCACCTGAATATAAGCCGCACCCACTAACTTTAAAAAGAAAAAAAGGTTTTGTACATATACAGGCTGCACTTGTCTAAAAGCTGCAGGTGTCCACGTTGTAACATGAGGTATTTACACACAAAGATTTTTTTAACTTTTATTTAAATACGTACTGTGAATGCTTTTATTCCCGAACAGTGCCTGTAACAGGATTGGTTAAGAAAATAAAAAATACAGCATCCTACCAGGAAAAGTCATTGACCGCTATCTTCATCTTCCTCCTGCGCACTAAAACCACTAAAGTCGTCTCCTTCAGTGTTCTTCAGAATGACTTCGCCACACACTTCCTTAGTCTTTCTTTTGTTGTCGCTCTCAATGTCACTTTCATCTTGAGGCGAATTTGTAAAAATCCGTAAATTAGTCGCGTCATTGTTTAAGCCGCAGTGTTCAAAGCGTGTGAAAAAAGTAGCGGCTTATAGTCCGGAAATTACGGTAGCTGAACAAACCCAGGCACATGTCCAGTGTTGTATTTGAATGTTTCAGGTCGGTTAATATGTGTGTTTTCTCTGTACTCAAGCACACAAACACCCGTGAAAAACCACTTTCAAGCAGTTATGTGTGTTTCTGCTGGTGCTCTCCTGCAGGTTCTCGGCCGACGGCCCGTCCATCCCAACCCACTTCTACACCGTGGTAACGAGCTGCCAGGAAGTGAACCAGACGGTGGAGGAGTGTGACGGAGCGCTCAGGGTCTTTTCCTTCCTGCTACCCCACAGACCGGACAACAGCGAGGCCTGCAATGTGAGTTCCATCCATTGTCTATACACCGCTAAATCCACGGTGGGGGGCTGGAGTCTATCCCAGCTGACTCAGGGTGAAGGCAGGGGACACCCTGGACAGGTCACCAGTCTATCACAGGGCCACACTTAGAGACAGACAACCAAGCACACTCACAGTCACACCTACGGACAATTTAGAATCACCAATTAACCACCGAGCCACCTTGCAGCCCTCAATGTGAGTTGAAAAGTCCACCCCAGCAGGGGGTAGCACTGTCCCAGCTTCAGCCAGTAATGGACTCAGATGAGCAGAACAAGCAGCTTTCATCTCCAATAAGGGGGAAGTAACTAATTACATTTACTCAAGTACATTTACTTTTTTGTCAGAGTATTTCCATTTTGAGGAATTAAATGCTTACGCTTCACCGAACTTCAGAGCAACAGTTAATTTAGAGATGAAGACCATCAAAACTAAAGTCAGCTTGAGGGCACCTCAGTGGAAACAGAACAACCATGACTAGAAGCAGAAAAACTCAAAAATGTGTTATATTGTAATGCCATAAATCAGGAAGAAGATAAAAATAACAGTTGAATATCTGTGATTCCTAATTTTACAAATTACAAAAAAAAGCAAAAAAACAAACAGAATCAACATATACAACTTTTTTTTAAGGGCCTTCAGATATGGCCAATAAATAATGAAAAAAACAAACTGATGGCTCGACATGCTACAGATGTTGGACTTTGTGGTTTTTCCCGTGATCTGATCTGCTCTGTGCACACACTTCAACCCACTTCATTCAAAAAGTCTCTGAAACTTTGTCACCTGACTGTTGGTCAGAGCTGAGTCACTCATTACTTTCTGGTTGTGTTGAGTAGTGCAGATTTTTTTTTTTTTTTGAAACTGAATTTAGTTCCAGCGGACAATTTATTTTTAGGACATTTTTAATTGAGTCAAGTGATTTTGATGAAATATCATGATACTAAGCTTAAGTTTTCATCACAGATGAGTTGTACAGGCCTGTCGAAAATGGATGATTCTTTGTTTTTACAGTTTCTGCTGTGATTTCTAGACAGAGAGCTTTGCCTTTTAAGGGTTCAGAGGGTTGAACATATGTACAACTTTTTACAGTATGATGAATTTTAAATGTACAAAATTTAGGTTTGTCAGTCATTAATTGTTTCGACTACTGATTGATCAGTAACGTTAAATACTGCAGATCCTGAAATCTGGCCCAAAATTGTAAACTGAAAAATATACACTGTTGGTTGAACAAAAACACAATATCTGGAACATCATTTACAGCTGGGTGTTTCTAACCATCCTATTTGATTTCTCAAAGAAAATGATTTATGACTTCACCAAGAAAAAAATCCAAAAATGAGCACAGAATGAAAATAATAATTGCTTTAGTTGCAGTATTATATAAATTAATAAAAATGTTCCTTCATCTCAAGCTGCTGCAGGAGAAAAATGCTGCACTGCAAACATGAGTACGTAAGAAACAACAATCCATCCATCCATTATCTATACACCGCTTAATCCTCACTAGGGTCGCGGGGGGCTGGAGTCTATCCCAGCCAGAAACGACAATCAAATGTTAAAATATATAATCACTTCCAATATGTCCTGGTCGTTTTTAAACTCTGACCTGGATTCAAACAAGAATCTTAGTTAAAGGTGCAACTTTTTAGTGCCTGAAACACCATGAAAACATTTTTATTTCACTATTCATAGCAACAGGTCAAGTTTTCAGTGTGTTCTTCTCGTAAGTCTTGTCACAGGAACGATTCAAATCCACGCTACTGAATCTAAGATTGGAATATTTGATCACAAATATTTAATTCTGCCAAAAATAAATAATGGACTCTAACCAGATTCTGTAAAAAGATAAAAATTCAGAGCTCCTTTTTGCACCTGGCCAACCAATAGAAACTTGGCTGCCATCAACAATTACTTGACAAAAAATCAGGGACTTTTCTGCATCACTTCTGTGTTTCCGCAGACCTGACTGTTCCACTTTCTCTTACTGGCAAACCAAACATGAAAATAGGTTGCAGACATCATACCGACTGGAATCACATCCGTTATACAGAAACTAAAACATCAGTGCTGACGTACAGCTGGGGCAGAAGAACCGTGGTTCCCCTGAGCATTTTTTTTGAGTTCCTGCTGTGTTGGAAAGGGAAACTTCATTCCTCAGCTCATCTCCATCAGCAGCACCGCTCTTCAAATGTCACAATAATTACACAGTTAGTCTGCAAATAAAAAAGAAAAGTGTCAGTTTTCCGACTGTCCTTAAACTAATCATGCGGTTTCTGGTTTCCGGACTCAGCTCTGTGCAACAACATGGCCCTGACTCCTCTTGCACAAACACCTGAACAGCAGCTGTCCACACATGCAACAGTTCAAACAGCCAGACTGGCTCTACCTGCGAACCCAGATTGATTTATATAAAAATGTACAAGCACGGACTAAACAGAGAACAAAGCCTGTCTCATGAAACATTCCACACATAATCTGACCAAATATTGTAAGTATAATGTGACTGATTGTCACATTTGATAGTGTTTTTGAACAGATTGCTTATGTGAGTTGAAGAATGACTACGAGTCACTATGAAATGACTTCTGAAGATTCTACCAATGTAAATTCTTGAGGTTTTATCTTCAGTTTTAATTCTAAAACTGTGATATGTCATTAAAATTGCTATATTCTAGATGCCTGACTTAAAAATCTGCCATAGAATAAACTGTGTGCTCTAATCAGATTCTGTGAAAAAAAAAAAGCTGTGTTTAGGTAGAGCAGAGACGAGACAAGTATGACAATAAATCCATCCATTCATTATCTATAAACCGCTTAATCCTCACTAGGGGGGCTGGAGTCTATCCCAGCTGACTCAGGGTGAAGGCAGGGAACACCCTGGACAGGTCACCAGTCTATCACAGGGCTACACTTAGAGACAGACAACCAAGCACACTCACATTCACATCTACGGACAATTTAGAATCAGCAATTAACCTCAACATGTTTTTGGACCTTGTGGGAGGAAGCTGGAGAACCCGGAGAGAACCCACACTGCATGGGGAGAACATGCAAACTCCACTCAGAAAGATCCTGGGTGTCCTCAGTGGGACACTAACCAGGGACCTTCTTTCTGCGAGGCAACAGTGCTAACCAAGAATTTTCACTTTTGTTTTGTTCTTTTTTATCATTTATAAATGCAGGTGTACTGCAGAGAAGACATTTTTGACTTCTTTCTCCTAGTCGTGGTTGTTCTGTTTCCATAGAGGTGCAGGACTTTATGTTGCAATGAGAAATGAGCCCACAGTGAGTAAAAATGCAACAGGAAAAAAAAAAAAAAAGACCAGAAACTGCTTCAGGTTTAGAGGGGTAATTAATAGGAAAAGTGTTTTGTACACATTCTACTTAAACTGCATATAAAGTGCAATGAAATTAGAAACCACGTTGGAAATTAACATGACATAACACGTACTTGTTGTGAAAACTGATTCCCTTGAGGGCCATAATTACAATCAACAGAAAACTGAAGTTCAAACAGGCTAACAAACTGCAGAGCTGTCTGTGGAGAACACCTTCCTCGGTGGAAGAACATCTACTTAATGATGGAATTATTCTCACAATGACTGCCAGCACACAGACCACAATGAGTGAATTAGGCTAACAAAAACATCATAAAACTTCCAGGAGATGGTACTGTACTTTATCTGCACTATCTTCAGTTTCAGAGTTCCACTTGGACTCAATCCCACAGCTGGGAGACACCATACCACTGTTCATTGGGTTCGCGCTGAAGTTTTAAATGTTTATTCCAGGACGGCCATGCAATTTGTGAACACTAGAACAAATTGAGTTGGTCTAAGTTGGGGCGATTGTAGAATTTAAATCTTTTACTTTTAACATTTATCTTTGTCAAGTTGAATTTCTTAGATTTTTAATTTTAGAAACCCTTGAAAAACCTGGAACCAAGTGTAAACAGGTGTTACCAATGGTGAAAAAACAAACTGTTGGCTCGACAAACTATAGCTATTTTACTACATATTTAACATGTGTCCATACTTATCTCTGCTCTGAATAAACCCAGCCTGACGTTCATCCAAAAGTTTTTGTCATGTGACTGTCAGCCGCAGCACAGAAGGGATTTTTTAACCAAGACATGAAGAATGAAGGGATTTTGATGAAATATATCACAATTTTAAGCTTAGAAGTTTCCTGACCGAATGGCTCATCACTAATGATTGGTTCAAGAACCATTGGAAAGTCAAAAAATCTGACAATTCTTTTTTAGAGACAACATAGAAATGATCCAGGGGCCTCATTTATCATCAGTGCGTAGAAAAGGTTCTAAATTCTGTCCTACGCATGAAATTTAGAGTGTTTGTAAGTACAAAAAAAATCTGTGTTTATCAAACGTGCGTACGGGGGTCGTACGTACATCAGTGTTGATAAATCCCACTTGTTCTTAACCTCCGTGCTCGTGCACGTTGCCTTCAGGAACGCCTCCAAATCACCATATAGGGCAACAACATGCCTCTTTATAAAGCATGTGAAGATTTGTTTTTCCCTCACCTGTCGTCATCATCGTGGCCAAAAGGGCGAAAAAGAGGAACTTTTATGAAACTGAGATCGAGGTACTTGTCAGCGAGGTTGAAGCAAACCAGAAAATATTGTTTGGTGCGTGAAATGTTGGGATGAGCAGCGAAAGAAAAAATACTGCATGGAACAAGATAACCACCGCAGTTATTTCTGTTCAGAGGACAGATTGCCGGCAAAAATTTTAAAAAGTGGTTTGATGTTAAGCTCAGTGCCAAAAAATGCATCACAGTCTATAAAAGAGAAACGACTGCAACTGGAGGAGAATGAATAAACGTTCACCCAGTGGATAACCCTGATCACTACAGATGAAGTGTTTTAATAACCATACTAAGTGGACTGGATGTAGGCTGGGGCCAGGGGAGTTATGGCATCCAACACTGCCTGCTTGATCCTGCTCAGTGGTGGCTGGAAATGCCGCATACGTCTCCAACCTCACGCTGGAATGTGTCGGTGGTCAGAATCCCCGAATACTTTCCATTTGTAGTTTCACCGTTCTACCGCTAGATTATGTGCGTATGCATGGTCAGAGGTGTGCGTATATTTACGCACATTCCTGAGTATAAGTACAAGTTGGTAAATTCCATACTTTGCGTAGGAGTGTTCGTACGCACGCTCTACACACATATCTATGCGTACGCACTGATGACAAATGAGGCGTCAGGGGTTCAGAGGAGAGAAGGATGAGACATGCATTTTTGTGATTTGTTAGAGTTTCACATTGTCTTTATCGTGTTCGCACATTTGACGCCCTGCTCCTGGCCATGATGGGAAACAGATGCTGACAGTGCCCTGCTTCACCACGTGTCACGAACCTCGATAAAGTTGCCGACCACACTTGGAAAATGACTTGCCATTGATTTCCAAACACTTCTTCGTGTTGAAGGGTCCCTACCAGTGAAGAAAAACCAGTCTGTTGGACACAGAAGGCTTAAATGGAGGACAAACATATTTATGTTTAGCAAAAAGAAAAAAAAAAATCAAACATGCAAATTGTCAAAATCTGCTGTATTGAAAAAAAATAGTATGTATCCTTAATGGTGTCTGTTGTGCTATTGTGCATTTGCACTGTGTCAATGTCAAAACAAGCAGTTGTTGCTGAAAAACTTAACGTATGAACAAAGAGTGCAAAAATGTGACATGCCTTTGGTGGGTTTTTTTTAGCCCCGAAAGAACTAACAGTGTGTCAGCCGTGAACACTCACAGATGTTTCGACATCAGTTTTTAAAGACACGTGCTGCTCCAGTGATGTAGAAAGCAGCACAACATTTATGGCTTCCCTGTTGTGACTCAGCGTTTTTTATTTGATTTGTACAGAATCTGTTTATACACAGTTCATTTTTGGCAGGATTTTAAATGAGACATTTAGAATAAAGTGAGTTTAGTGAAATATCACGATTGTAAGCTCAGATTTGGTTCCTGAAACTATACAAGATTAGTCGAAGGACCATCAGAACGCTGAAAATCTGACAATTCTTTCCGTTTTCACAGTGTCACAGTTTCCGACTAATTAAATGTACAAGTTGCCATTTTTGGAAGACATTCTTCCATCCATCCATTATCTACAGTCGTCCACAAAGTTATTCATACTCATCCATTAAAGAAAAGGCAAAATTCACAGTAGTCTCTCAAATAACTGGAAACTGAAAAAAGTAATAATAAATAAATATTTGAAAAGAATAAAAAAAACAAAAAAACAACTCTCCCAGACAGATTAGAGCACTTTGCTAGTGCACAGGGAGAACATGCAAACTTCACACAGAAAGATCCCGGTGTCCTAATGGAACTATATAGAAATCTTGTGATAGATAAAGATGAGGCCTTTGTAAAGAGGAAGACATCCGGCAGGGTTTAAGGTCTCCAATGAGAATATTTAACTTCAAACTGACATAAAGACAGACGTTGCTGATGGAACAGGTTGAAGCTCGAGGTTTCAGTTTGCGTCACAGAAGAATCTCAAAACAAGCTCAAGGGAACCACCGTTCTTCTGCTCCAGCTCTGTGTCAGCACTGATGCTTTCCTTTCTGTATAAGGAATGAGATTCCAGTTTTGCTTTGCCAAAAAAATGAAAGTGGAACGTGAATGCTCTGCCTAGACATCCAGAGCAGCACCAGAGGGATACACTTTTGGAGACATTTCATTTTGATAAGTCACACAATCGAGGGATTACACTCTGACTCACACTGAGGTGGTGGTCACAGGTCAGTCAAAGGATGAGTTTACTTTTTCATAACACTGTGGTGTGTCACTGCTTTATACAACTATTGTTTTCTACCGTACACATCATGTTTCACTGTCAGTTGATGAGAACTAAAAACACCCAGTGCAAACTCAGGACACACAGTTTGGCTTGTGCCTCCTGTCCTGAAGTAACCTTGCTTTCCATTGAAAGCACAACTGTTCACAGAAGATGAGAGTCTTTTGTCGATCTTGTGCAACTTTTGTTTCAATCCAACCTCTACTAGAGTTTCAACATCACATAATTTCACCCCGAAAAATCCAAATAGCTGATCGAAAATCATATTTTGGCAACTTCTTTACTGTTTTTGAGCGAGATGTAACTGCAGAGGCTGCAGTGCCTACATCTGTCAGTACCTCAGTTTGTCAATACTTCGCAAAGCGCTGCAACAACATTCAGGAATTGTAGCAGAATAAAGCTGGAGTGTGTGTGTTTTGTCAAATGAAAGTGTTATTGTTGGACTTGACTATATACAGAAAAAAATGCAGTTTAAACTGTGTGTGTGTTGCATCCTTTAGAGATCACCTCAACTGTTTTCTAAAATGTCAAAATCTGGCCAAAACAAAAAGAGTATTTGAATTAGATTAATTGTCCAAACAGCTGTCCAAACCTCATTATGTAAAATTTAATATCACCTGTAATTCTTTTTTATGTTTTATATATATATGTACTGTCTTTTCAGAGGGGTAGAAGGTTCTCAGATCAGGTTTAAAGCTAATTTAAATTTCTATTTGAGTAAAAGTATGAGCATCAAAATAGACCTAAACTACCAAAAGTAAAAGTGCTCAATCCAGTACACTATAATCCAAAGTGCAGAATGGCAAATTTCATTTTTATTATAAGTGTTCATTACCTTAGTGTCAGAGCTGTTTAAGGTTATTTAACACTTTACCAAGTTTATTTGCTGGGTAGCTGGTGTACTTTTCCGTAAACCAGCTACAATACTATGATTAGTCTGGAATTTTTCACGTCATTTCACTACAATTTCAGATGATCCTCATCTTTTAGCTGAAATTGTGTAGTTTACAATCTTTCACCATCTTAAGTAACTATTGCACAGCTTCATCTGGTTTTTATTCTGATTCATACCCTGATATTCAGCAATCACAACGGCTGAAAGTTTGGGAAGGATTGTTGTAGTGGCCGAAAGAATCCACTGTTTACTCTCGAGGAAGTCAGATGTTTACTACAACGCGAGAGGGATTGGTTGTTTTGAAAGATGAACGAAACAGTGGCTCGATGTACAGGAGTATAAAGTTTGTATTTTTATCTGTTTGGAATTAAGATGACCCGCAGGCTGTTTTCTGCTTTGTCAGTTCAGTGTGCACAGGTTCAGTCAGTCAGGAGGCCACAGAGCCACAAATGACTTTAAAATAAACCTGAAGCACCAATTCTAAGACACAAAGCCCAGTCAGATTGGATTAAGATGAATGACCAATCATTTGCTTGCAGATGTAACCCCTCTTCTTGTCTGGGATGGTGACAGAACAAAAGATTGCATTTATAGTCAGAGTAAACCCAAAATGAAAATCTTCACATTTCTTCTCTGAGATTTTGCCAGTAATGAAGGAGTTCTGGTTTGCAAAACGGAGCCCTGGGAAGTCTCAGAGTGTCCACATGAATGTCCACGTCTCCTGCAGACGCAACATTTCATAAAAGAGACAGGAAAGCCACTTTATCTTGGTTTGTGGACATGACAAGACCTGCAAGTATTTTTTAATGTCACCGCAAATTGCTTTTAGGGACACTGTCTCCTAGAAAATATGCTCACATGTTGTCTTTTAAGGCTGGGAGCATTTACCGAAGGTCAAGGAAAGTTTGTAGTCTTTGGGAACTGGTCTCATTCCCAAAACTTCACCTTCTGCCACTTTTTTAGGACCTTTTGACCAAACGTTTCAAAGCACAAGGTATCATTATTTGCGTTACATTTTTTAAACACACAGCATAGTTCAACAGACCTATGAATGAACAAATCTATGAACGTTACAAATAGACATCATGAGTCTGAATTTAACCATGCAGTGAGTGAAAACAAGACTTAAACTGCAGTAAGTGGAACAAAGACTGGTCTAACACAGAACATTAGCTTCAATCTCTTGAGTGAAAGTCTTTCAACTATGCCTCTTGAAGCCCTCCAACCTACTTATGAGATTTTTTTAAAACTGGAAAACACAACAAGTTTATTAAAACCTACAAATAGCGGTTATTTTTTTTGGTAAAGTCCACAAAAAATACTTTAGTTGTAACACAAACAGGACTTGGGATTTTCAAAGTCTGGGGTTTTTGTGCCCACCGTTGACCCCGACCACCTCCCAGCAACTGAGGTGCACAAATGTAATACTTCATTTACCCCAAAAAACAAACACGTAACCCAGTCATAAAAAAGTATTTGTGACCTGTAATATGTTCTCATCTTGACTGGACTTTAGCCTAGCTTAGCATTAATCTTTAAAGGGACAGCCAGTTATAGAACAGGTCTTTGCTGTCATTGTTGTATGACAATGAAAGCAGCTCTTTGAGAGAGCAGCTTCGAACAAAAGAACACAAAGTCATTACAGAAGGGAATAAAGGGATTGAACTGTATGAAAGGACAAGAATTCATTATCAAATGTGTCTACCAGCACCCCATAAGCTCACCAGTTAACTTGTTGTATACTGTTTGTCAGATATGGAACAAACACCTAAAGCACAGTCTGTGGTTACATGTGGATATACATGCTATTAACTATTTACTTTATACACAGACAAGCAAGTTGTTTTACTCTCTCAGAGTCGTTACACAAAGCCAAGCCAGTTTATGCCCCTAACTTGAGTTCCAAAATGCAGAGTCTTATCTCAGGGAACTTCTTCAATTGAGAAACAGTGAAGGAAAGCTGCAATTTACAACAAAATTGACTGCATTTTTAGTCCATTTTTAGTTTTCCTTGTGCAGAATCAGACAGAGGTTGTTTTCTTTCTATTTTTTCCTCTCACAGTGACCCTATCCAGATGTGTTCTGTTATTTGCAGCTGTTTCCATGTTCTTGTTAGGCCGGGACTGATGCCAGAACACCAGCGGGTTGAGGGTTCAAGTCTTACAACAATAGTCTGTTCTCTTGTGTATGCATAAGTCTCTGTGATACATGTCATATGTGCAGAATGAACTATGAGTCAGAGGCAGTTTCAGTGGGTCATCATGGTGTGTATGACAGCGACAACCTACAACCAAAACAAACTATAAATGTGGGAGTTTTTTGTTTTTTTTAACCCAAACACAACACAAAGCGCAGTAACAAGGGTTCAGCAATAATGCCAAAACAAGTTGGTGTGTGCACAACAAGGGGTTTTATTTTAGCAGTTTAAACTGTTTGTGTTGCATCCTTTAGAAATCACCTCAGCTGTTTGGTTAATAAGATGTCAGATCTAATTGAGAATTTGAATAGTTTTTTTAATCCAAAGATCAGTTCAAAATCCCAATATGTGTAATTTAATATTATCTGTAAGAATTATTTATTATATTCCATACATACTTTATGATGTTGTTGGAGGTGGAAAAAGTTCTCAGCACTATTTGAGTATAAGCATCAAAATATATTTAAAGTTCCAAGCATTAGTTAATCTATTATAATCCAAATTGCAGAAAGGATTGTTATTATTGATGCATTTATGTGTTCATTACTTTAGTGTTAGAGCTGGTAAAGGTAATTTAACGAGTTTGTAAAGTTTATTTGCAGGGTGGCTGGCGTAGTTTACAAGATCAATAATGTTTTATCTTAATGTGTAATATTATGTTGCAATGTATTTGTTGATTATATTTTGTATCATTGAACTAAATCTGCAAATTGACCAAAGACCAGCACATCTTTGGAGTAGAAAGGACAATGTTTGCCTCTAATTTGTCTTTAAAATACTTTCATTTTATTGCATTATTACGACATGTAGCACATTAAGCTCTGCACGAAATGATACAAATAAACGTCAATCTCGGTTAAACAATCGGCACACTAAACACATTTGTTGGAGCTTTAGCATGTATACAGCGTATTTTAGTGAGTAACACTAATTGCATACATAACTTATGAGGAAAAAGACCCTTTGATTCAAACTGCCACACATCCAATCAGACTGCACGAGAAGGCAGGTAACGCCGGTTGTCACGAGGAGGACATTCAATTAGGGGGAAAATGGTGCACATTCAGTGACAGAAATAGTTGTAAGGAGACTGAAAAAACAGAAAGCTGGAGAAAGACCCTGATTCCTTTCAGCCTTACACCTAGAGGACGCTGCAGTGTAGAGTTCCATCTGAGCCATTTTAAAGCTTTTAAATCATTAACTTTGATACACAGAGAGGAATGAAACAGATGGACTTTATTATTTTCCATTTGATTCCTCTACAAAGCACCCATCCATCCATTATCTATACACCAGTTTATCCTCACCAGGGTCACAGGGTGCTGGAGTCTATCCCAGCCGACTCAGGGCGAAGGCAGGGGACACCCTGGACAGGTCACCAGTCTATCACAGGGCCACACTTAGAGACAGACAACCAAGCACACTCACATTCACACCTACGAGCAATTTAGAATCACCAATTAACCTCAACATGTTTTTGGACTGTGTGGGAGGAAGCCAGAGAACCCGGAGAGAACCCACGCTGCACGGGAGAACATGCAAACTCCACACAGAGATCCCAGGTGTCCTCACCGGGACACTAACCAGGGACCTTCTTGCTGTGAGACGACAGTGCTAACCACTGAGCCACCTTGCAGCCCTCTACAAAGTATTGTTAGGAAAATTACCTGAATATCTTACTTAACTTTTCAATTATAGATCAATTTCTCTTCAAACTAGGGCCCAAGATTTTATAGTCTTTGAAAACACACTCATTAAAACTGAGATCGGGAAACAAGCTTTAAATGTTACACACCCAAGTATTGGAACAAAGCTCAAAACCTGTTGAGATTCAAGGTCTAATCCTATCTGACAGGTTTAAGGCCCTTGTGTCCAACATGGAGCAGTATGAGCGCACTTGTTTTCTTCAACTTTAACTTGTACACTTTTTCTAACGTATGATTGTTTATTCTGTATGTGTACAGAGTGTTTTATTTGGATTGTCTGGATTTGCATTTATTCTGAGACGTGGCAAATATCTATTCATTGTAGTCTATTCCGTATTTATTCTGCATTTTAGCAATAGCTGAAAAATGTGTTTTTTGCTTGTTGTCATGCTTACAGAGCACCCATGAAAAAGAGAGTATCGACTCTCATTGGGCCTTTTTTAAAATAAAGGCTAATAAAAATAAATAAAGTAGGTGACTGATCTTTTCCTTAGTTTGGAAAAGGTTGAACTCAGCCTCCTTCAAATAGATGTTGGTGAGGTATGGGAGGAATGTCTACCTGGGAATATCTGACAACTATTTCCCAGAAAAGATTGCAAAGATGGTTGTGCTGGCATCCTTAGCAAGTAAGAGACAAATTATTTTCGAGCAGAGGTCAAAGTTATCTGCGTCAGAGATACACAGTGCTTCCTTCAGAAAACACTTTAGGGAAAGCCTAGAACATGTTTTGTTGTGGTATTCCTCTGAGCGTTGGAGGCATGGCTAGCTGGTTTCCTGTCTGGTTGTCTTTAGTGTTTAAGTGTGAGGTGCTCTGCAGGGAATCATGTGTTTCCTGTACAAGCTGTGCTTTTAAAAAAAAAACTCAGGGAGCCAATGAGAGAAGAAGACCTGCTAATGTGTGTGCGAGTACCCACATCCATCAAAAAACAAAACATGTAAAAGACTAAAAGGTTCTCGTGAAAGGATGCTGCAGTTCGACGCTGCACTTACCCTTTATAGGCACATCATTTGCGGCCTTTGGTGTTGAGCAATTTTCAGGCTCCTTAACTGCGCCTGACTTGGTTAGTGTCACAGAGCCGCGCACTGCCCAAATACACTTACACGTTTCCTGGCAACAAACCAAAAAGACAACAGACAAGGCAAAACAAAAATCGAATTACATAAACAGTTCCTGGACACTTTGTTTCTGTTACCATAATAATAGTATTCTGTTGAGCATCCCTTTGACTTGAGTCACATGCTGAAGTGCTAATTTTGTCATCCATCCCTGTTAGATATGAAAAATAAGGAAATCAGTGTCAGGTTTGCTTCAGTTGCACGTTATATTTTGCAGCAAAATCAGTGATGCTCTTGTATTACTCACTGGTCGGGTGATGGCAAAATACATGTGTGGTATTTCCTTAACCTTAACAGAGAGTGTGTGGGTGCAGGGCGTGCTATGTCATTGTTAACTTCTTCGTCTCCCCTGGAGATGCTACTGTTGTCCAACAGCTTTGCCTTAGTTCCCACTGCTTAGTTTCTCTAAAATACCATCTTTAAGCTCCAAATGAGGAGACTTTGTTGGCTCGAGGTCAAAGGGTCAAAAAATGACAAGTCAAAAAGCTCTTTTGAAAAAAATGTATTAAATAAAACAACCACCTTATAAGTGTGATTGTAATATCATTAGTTAACACGAGATCATGTGTATGTTTTGGATTCTGAATATTTAATAAAGAATATTTGCATACATGTTAAAATAACTCAAATATGTTTGCATATACAGTATGTCACAAAAGTGAGAACACCCTATCACTTTGCTGCAAATATTTTATTATATCTTTTCATGGGACAACACTGAAGAAATGACACTTTGCTACAATGTGAAGTAGTACAGCATGAATTTACTGTCCCCTCAAAATAACTTAACACCCAGCTATTAATGTCTAAACTGCCAGCAACAAAAGTGAATACACCCCTTAGCAAAAATGTCCAAATTGGGTCATGTGACTCGTTAGTGTTACAAGGTCTCAGGTGTGAATGGGGAGCAGGTGTGTTAAATTTTGCGTTTTCGCTCTCACACTCTCTCATACTAGTCACTGGAAGTTTAACGTGGCAAAGAACTCTCAAGGATCTGAAAAAAACAATTGTTGCTCTACATGAAGACGGCCTCGGCTATAAGACTGCCAAGGCCCTGTGTACTCACTTTTGTGAGTACATATGATATATACATTTATAATCTGAGTAAATCTGACTCGACTTGAAGCCGCACTTTCATGTAGAAAGTACATTTGTAAATTGGTTTTCCAAGTACATTTCCTCTGTTGTTTTCCATTTCCTTTTCTACGCAGGATGAAACTATAGACGCTAACTTTCACAGCATTAAGGTCATACTGGTTTTTCCAGACTGATCTCTAAGGAAAAGACAGTACAGCAGAACTCTCTCTGTGTGTATAGTCAGCACATCTGCAGCACAGCAGGACACACATCCTGCAGACAAAAGCACACACAAACATCGCTGCTCCAGCCGAGACCAAAGACCAAAGGCACGAGCTGAATGAAAGCTATTGTAGGATTGACAACACTGAGCGACAGCTTTGGGAACTGAGTCAATTATGTTGGACCTGCTGATTTCCTTTTGGCCTCGTTTGTTTCCTGTGTGTGTTTCCCGTCTCATCCTCACAAGGAACGCAGTGTTTGTACTCGCTGGAACTAATGACGTTGCTCTGCAGTCAGTAGCAACAGTTACCTGGAATAACCTTTGTCACAGTTCCTGCTTTATCGTCAAAGCTCTCTTTCACACAAAAAAAAGGCTGCTGTAGAAACTGTTATAAAGAGTGACCCGGGAGAACCACATCCTGACTGAAAAATTCAAATGAAAACTTATTGGATGAATTGCATTTTTGTTCTTGTCTTTTTGTCTAAGCAGTTTTTGTGGGTTTTTTTCTTTTTTTTTTGCCCCTGTCCAAATCATGTGTCCGTTGACTAAAACAGCGACATCGGCACAGAATAAATATCAAGTGTGACACTGAGTAATCAGTTATTGATTGATCATTCTACTGATGAAGTGCTGATTTTGTGCTCTCCCTTTATGACATTTATGACATGATGTAAACAAAGGATCAGGCTTAGGTTTGTGCTGAAACCGATCAGTTTAAAAAAAGGCCTCAATCAAACCCAATTCTGACCTTTGAAACCACATCGGAACGTCCCTTGGCTGATATTCTTAATTAGCATTGTGTAACCTTGTTTGGCTTGAATGTAATGGACGTTCATTTACATCGAAGTCCTGCAATCTAGATTTAACCTTAAGCATTAACCTGGAGGCACTTTAACAGACTTTGACTGTAGACTATGATCAGTTCTTTTTAGCCAAACTTAAATTTATTCATTTCTGTCTAATATTTTGAGTAGATTAAGCCTACATTCAAATGGAAAAAGAAAACCAAACATTTTCGAATTACTACATCTGGGAAACCCAGTATTAGCAGCTAAAAAAAAATGTTGCTCACTGAGTAAGTTCCCTGCAGGTGTCACTGACTGGGAAACACCTTGTAGTTGCAGAAAGCCTGAAGGCAGGGTGGCTGAAGGTTCTGTTTTGTTTGTGCATTTGTGTACACTTATTTGTGTACAAAGCAGAATAATTTAAAAGGCCTCAAGGGCGTCACAAGAGTAAAATCTCGTGACGCCCTTCGGTTTCCAGGAAATGATAAAGTTTGCCACTCCTGTAATGGGACATCAGTTGGCATTTGTATCTGTGAGCGTGTTGTGCGAACAGGGCCTTTGGCGTTGCTATTTTCATACGACTATTGCTGTAATTTAACAACTGTTTTAGTCACCGGTGCTTTTTTTTTCTTTTTAAATAAGCAAATGCCTCGAAGCTGTGTGGAGCCATTGTAAAACAAAATAGACAAGAAGTTTTCCCGTCATTACAAGTTTTGCTTACATGATTCAAACTGTGCCTTCTAGTGTTTACATTACGGAGTCTGAGTGAGTCACAGGCAAAATGATCGGCTGCTCTTCATCAGAAGCCTTCAGTTGTTTCGGCATTACTGTTACTGCACTTCTGGAAACACGTAAATGGTGTGATGCAGTATAATGTTGTATCCGCCATTAGTACAGAGACACTTACATTAAGCAGAGACCTGCACAGGAGCGGTTTTTACACTGAATTTTCAAAGCAAGTAATTTACTCTAAAATGTTAATAAGAAATTGGATCAATGAAACCCACAGTCCAACATCCAGGTGTCCAATTTAGTGCTGCAGCAAATGATTATGTTTGCTGCAAAGCTGTACTTTTTATGTTGTATTTGACTGAATGGAGCTGTTTGATTAGCTCAGAATGTTTTCCAATCACAATTGTTTTAATGAATTTTAGGAGTTTATTATAATCCGCCTGAGTTAACCCATTATGTCAGTTCAAATTAATTTTATTGCAGAGATCAGCAAACCTGGAGCCTTTTTCAAAATTAATCATTCACCATGAATAACATTCAGTAAATTATAGTGTTAAGTACACAAAAACTAATGAATCGTCAGTGAACCTGACAACTGTTTCTGCAGAGCTGATGTGAGGATTCAATAAGTCAAAAAAAAAAAAATCTACATTGGCCAGTCGTGAGTCTTTGCCATGATAAACTGACACTGTACCTGTAAACAACAAAATCATGTTGCATTTATCTCAATCACTTCATCTGTTTTCCTGGTTATTTAGTGCGACACAGCAGCTTATCAAGGCTCAAACATTGACACTGATATGCAGAAACAAGTTCACGTTCTTGTTTTCCCAGACCTGTTGCCGGTTGCGTAACATTTAATAAGTGTAATAGTGTGGGAGTTACCTGTCATTGTGCCAGTCTGTTGCTGCTAAAAACGCCTGCAGCTCCAAGCGTGACACAAAACTACATAGACAGTTTTGGGTAATTAAGTAAACTCCACCTATCTGTGGGAATCCTTTAGCCTTTAGAAGCAACAACAAGGCGTAAAGAATACAGAATTCATGGAGAGCTCTACAAGAAGCGAATTTGTAGGGATTTAAATTTCAAAACAAGAAATTAAAAAACCTGAAGTAGACCAATATATGCTCCATCTCAGAGTGGAAAATCTACCGCCCCATCACTCATTTGAAAGGGACTGCTCCATTGACAGAGTCATTCAAGGACCAATGCAGGGACAGAAGTGTGCAAAAAGTCAGGAATCTAAATCTTGGTCACAACGAAACCCCATTTTATCAAACACTGCTGTTGCTAATCTCAAACACACACGATCCTTTGATGCAAGTCAGAGCGCCTTCCTCCATTTCCTTGTTTTCTCTCACATTGAAACAAAAAACACTTCCTTTCCTAATAAGATAATAAACCGTGCAGAGTTCTGGTTCTTGGCTTTTTTCGTCTCATATTTCAGAAATTGCTTTGGGTTCAGATCATTAAAAAGTCCTTTGATGAGGCAATACTGGACTATTATTAGCCCTACTTTCCATCCTATATATACTTAAAAAAAATAAATGAGTCTTCAAATGCACAAGGAAATGACGGTGTCATCAGTAAATAACCACCTCCCATCTGTGTCTCCGCAGAGCCCAGAGGAAGAGTCGCAGTGGGTGGAAGACCTGTTGAAGCTCCACACGGCCCGAGTCCGAGACGTGGAGATCCTGGCAGGCCTGGACCTTTACAGATCCACAAACCTCACCTACACCGACACCCTGACCCTCAAAACCTACCTGCACACCTTCGAGAGTGACGACTAGACGCACAGAGACAGACGCACACATATACAGGATGTAGCCTTTTGTAGAAGTCCTGCAATTTCACCGCATGCTCGCTGGACAGACGGTGCATCGCTGTCGTCCCGCTCCTGAGGAACTGCCCAAGAAGTGCTCGGAAAAAGGGGGGACACACTTCTGAAAATTGAAAAGATTAAAAAGACGCGTTTGTTTGGAAGATTACGACAGGAATATTCGATATTATCCATAGAATCTGTGTAAGAATAAGCCAGCATAGGATGCAGGGTGAGGGACTAACAGCTGCCACTACACTTTTCATGAGTACAGTATATACAAGGCATTCTCCATCACACACCAGTGTCTTAGTTTCTTATCAATAAATGATCTATACTTCATATTTGTACTGACTGTCCGCAGCAAATTTTAAATGTGTGTTGTTCACTTATTAAAAATCGATTAGTAGTCCTTGGATTAAGGAATATGGTCATTGTGAGGTAACTCAGCTAACCATGAAATTGGATTAAAAACTTGGAAAATTACTTTAAAAAAATGTGGAAGAGTTGAATTTTTGCTGTTCTGTAAACGAATATTTTGAAACTTTGAGAAATTAACTTAAATTCCACCCTCTGTGTATCTTTATGCTAAACAGAATCAGCCACCAGTTCCCTTAGCTTAGCATTAAGATTCAAAACAGGGGAGGGCAGCTTGCGTGGTGCTGTCCAAACGTCGCAAAATCCACCTACCCGAGCAGCAGACGGAGCCAGACTGATTGTTTCCTGGTGATTACGGTCTTTCGGTTATGTTAAGCTAATCGTTTCTTGGCTTTAGCTTCAACATTTCAGCCCAAATCCAAACATGTCAAACTGTTTTGCAATATAATAAAGCAGACAGCCACACAACAGACAGTCGTGTGACCATCGGGGGGTTCCAGAGTTCTGTCAGCTGTATAAATGTAGCATTTGACAGCTAAAAAGGCAAATAAATAAACTAGCAAAGCTCCTTGCATGTTGATCACAGGATTCCTACAAAGATTTGTCAGTGATACGGTGAAGGGGCTTATGACTGGGCTTTTTTTTTTTTTTTTACAGTGCATTTTCAAAAAAAGAGAATTTTTCAACACAATCTGGACATAGCCCAAACACAATAAGCACATATAAAGTCTAAGAACTTACCTTCTGTTTCCACATCCACCTGCTTCTGATGTCTCTTTTCCTATAGCTCTGTCACAGCTGATTATCTAGGCCAGGGGTGTCCAATCCTGATCGTCGAGGGCCTCAGTCCTGCATGTTTTAGAAGTTCCCGTCTTCCAACACACCTGATTCAAATAATCAGCTCATCATCAAGTTCTGCATAACGATCCTGATCATTTGAATCAGGTGTGTTGGAAGAGGGGAACATCTAAAACATGCAGGATTGTGGCCCTCAAGGACCAGGATCGGACACCCCTGATCTAGGCGTATGTTTTTATACAGTTTATCATATTTATTGCGTGGCATCATGATAATAACAGCACCTAGTGTTCCAGCATATACCCAGTGTAACTGCTCTGTCCCTGTTTGCTCTATAAAGACGGAAATATTCCACAGATGTTTTTCCAAAGGAGGAGACGAGACTGATTCTCTGGTAAAGGAAAATTGGGGCTTTGTTATTTCAGTTTCTTTTTTTTTCCGGCATGGTGACAGCCAACACCAACGCATCATCACATCACCCCACATCATTTGAAGAGAAATGGATGGTTCACTTACCTAAAATGCAAACCTGTGTGCATGACCGAGCACCATGAACTTCACTGGAAACATCTATTCCTTGGAATGGAAAAACAAAGTCATAACGCTGATGCATACATTACAACTAAAAAAGAGACGCATTTCGGAAAACTGCCTCCGTCAGGAAGTCATGAGGGCAGAGATCCTGTTTCTTAATCCAGGTTGGTGTAAGGCAAGTGTAGCTCTGCAATACAATTAAGTCATTATTGTCTATTTACTTATTATTATTGACATTGGTTGACCAGCTGTCTCCTGCAGACTTTTTAGTGTTTTTGCAAAATTACTCCTTTAACTCCAAAATAAGACAAAGGCTGTAAAACCACTGATTTTTCTTTAATTCAGTTTCAGGGCCTAAAAAGGCTCACACTACACTCACATTTATAACTCAGATAAAGACATCACAACCTGTATTTTTTTATTTTTTTCATGTTTGGTAGTTCCTTTCGTAATACACACTGACGAGTTAACTTAGCTTGCTGTCACAGTAATCAGTAGAACAGAGAAAATAATCAATAAAAAGTCAGTTAACTGACATAAAAGCTTGCCAACGTGTAGAAGAAGCCATGTTTATTCCTGTAGTCTTTCAAATAAAAAAGAATTGGAACCTTTCAACAAGTCGAACTGAGTTGTTTTTTTCTTTTTTTTCTTCAGCTGTCTCCTGCGACCAGCAGAAGAGAAATGACGAGTAACCCAAAGACGTGTGTTCATGCAGCAACATCTGCAAAGTGGCAACAGGGTTCTCTTTGCATCATTCCGAAAGTACAGGAATCAGCTGATTGTTAGCATGAGGACAGCGGATTTCGTGCAGACAGACTAACCTTGCAACACTATCTTCCTCAGTGTCAGAAAGCTAAAGCGTTGGTCCCTCCGCACGTTGAAAGGTTTTGGAATAAGAAGTGCGCTTTAGTCTTCCTCTGCAAAGTCTTCGTTGTGTCTCAGCCTCAACTTTGAGATCTAGCACTCATTTTCTGAGACATGTAATACTTGTGGCAAACAAAATGGAACTCATTAAACAGCAAAATACGCACTTCACCGGACGTGATAACAGGCAGATTGAGAACAGAGTCTGTTGTGAGCCAGTTCTTTAGGATCATCTGTGTTCAACAGAAAAACAGATGTTATTGATAGGATAAAGGGATCATTACGTAGTGACGTTATTAACATGAAAGAATGGAGACAAGACAAGAAAACTGAGCTGATGGATGTTGCAAAATCAAAGAACCAAATAAAACCAAAGGCGAACAGTCAGTTAAACTAACTGAACCAAAACAAAACAACTCCATAGAACTCCAGATGCGAGACGGCACACAAGCACCAGTGGCCGTAACAGGGTCCATCCATCCATTTTCTATACACCGCT